TGCGACACTCTGAACTTTAAAATCAATATAGTTGTACTCGAAACTTTTCTTTTTGTAATAACCTCATACCTCGTCACACTAGAAATAATCATTTTTAAGGTTTTTATTTTTATATGTAAAATATTAATTTAATACGTGGTTAGCATAACTTTTGAAATAATAATTTTAATATTTTTCAACTATCCAACAACTATTTAATTGATTTAATTTTATAAATTGAAGTGTTTAATAAGTCAATCAAAGTGTTTAATAAGTGCAATATTATAAATTAAAGTGTTCAATAGGTCAAAATAAAAGTTGAGAGTGCCACGAGATTTTTCGTGAAAACTATATGGATGGTTTTATGTATTAGTAATTAAAAGGTCACACATTTGAATTTTGTAAACAATCTTTTTTTTTTTTTTTTTTTTTTTTTTTTTTTTGTTTATATCATAAATGTTCTTAGCCTATTAGGCTAAACATACTCCTGCATGCATTGTGTTAAGTCCGCAAGGGGAAACGCTGTGGCAAGGCCAGCACACCTTAGGCAAATCCCACATCGGTTAAGGACGGGGTAAACGATCTATACATAAGAGGGGTAGCTTCTAACTTGGTTAGCACGCTTTTGGGCGGGTTGCAAAGCCTGCCTGAGGGACAAATCCGTGAGGGTTGCAAAGCCTAAAACAGACAATACTGACCAGGTCAGGGCTATGACAATTGGTATCAATCAGAGCCGGCCCTGTGCCCTCTGACCGGGGTGGGCAAATCACGGAGGACGCTGAGTCCCCAAGGGGGTGTATGTGGCAAGGCCAGCACCACCTTAGGCAAATCCACATCGCGTTAAGGAACGGGGTAAACGATCTAACATAAGAGGGGTAGCTTCTAACTTGGTTAGCGCGCTTTGGCGGTTGCAAAGCCTGCCTGAGGGACAATCCGTGAGGTTGCACGCTTTTGGGCGGGTTGCAAAGCCTGCCTGAGGGACAAATCCGTGAGGGTTGCAAAGCCTAAAGCGGACAATACTGACCAGGTCAGGGCTATGACAAACGCTTTCAGCGGAAATTTTTTCCATTCACAAAGATCATGCTCATAATTTAAAGTCAAAATTTTTTTTTTTTTAAAGAAAGGAAAATCGTTTAACTTATTCTTACAAGTTATACAATAAAGGAAAACTTATTTTTTTACATTTTTTTTCTTCCCATAATCTTTTAATTTAGAATCTTCTGCGCTCGTATTCAGAGGTAAAGGTACTGGTCCAGAGAATTTTGCATTACAGAGGATTCAACACATAAACTTAACCATGGTAATCAACCCCGTTCTTTGCCATTGAGCTACTCTCATTCGGATTGAATTAAATAATTATTTACAAGAGATATTAACTTCTTTTCAAAATAATTTTTTAGCTCATAGAATATAAATTGCAAAATCTATACTATCTATTACAATTGATGTCGGAATTTCCTTTACTCAACTACGTCAGTTTGAACTTGGAAAAGAAGACGAGTAATGCTTAAATTAGCATATGGGTTTAGAAGATTATTAGAAGCACAGAAAAATAGAATGCTTACCTGATTTTTTTTAATTATTTTAAATAAATCCAAGAGTTAAATTGGATTAAAAGGTCAAAATCTAATATTTTTGATCCCGCTAAATAAGTTTAAATGCTAAATTGACCTCTATTTCTAATCAGAAATACAGTTGTAATCCTTATTACTAGATATGAACTGGAATAACTTTAACTTCTTTTCCTATTTGTAGAACATATCTTTAATATAGGTCAAATATTAATAGCTCGGATGTTCACATCCACTATTAATAGTCGAACCCTAGTTATTTCTAAATATATCAATTATTAAAAATTAATTTTTTCCTAATTTGATTCAAAAGTTGCCATTAAAAATAATAATAATAATAATAATCTCAAGATTCTCAAATTTATACTATATATATAATATTATATTATAATATAAATATAATTAATTGGATATTAGCATTATAATGACAAATACAGTGAATTGAACAAACTTGCATGATTACTATAAATGAATAGTTGCAATTAGCATATATGCCATCTGATTAATAATTGTACCATATTAATAATTAATATTCATATCCAGCCAACCACCTTTTGCAGGTTTCTTGCTTAAGGTTTATACAAATTGTATTTTTTTTTTTTTTTTTACCAACTTTAATGCTAAGTAATGGGCTTTTATTATAAATGGAGGTTTGTTAAAGAACGTCCCAACAAACCAGACATTAATCATTTGCGTCTGAAAAGAATATGTTTTTTTTTTTTTTTTTTTACAATTAAATGCTAATTAATGGCTTTTTTCATTATAAATGGAGTTTGTTAAGAACTCCACAAACCAGACATAATCATTTTGGCTCTGAAAGAATATGTTATCCCCTTTTTAGCCGCAATAGTGTCTAATGGAGTTTTGGCCCCCACCCCTTCTCTTTCTTTTTTTTTTTCAAAAGAAAATTCTGAAATATTTTTTTTTTCTATATAAATGAGTATTTGATTCTCATTTCCATATTTTGAATACAGAACAATGTTTTAAAAAACTAACTAAATTCCATTATAAAAATTAGAATCTGACCATTGCTTTTAATGGTTCCATACACTAATTATGGAATCGAACAGATTCATCTAAAAAGGTTATTTAAAAAAATTAACTTAAATTGCTAATCATTCTTTAACTCATTTTATAAGATATCCAATAGATTAAGGGTGATTAATAAAGATTAAGTTATATGTATTGATTTTTTTTTTTTTGTTTATGCCCGATTATGTTTATAATCTTTTTGGATATAAGACTTATCTCAATTCGAGATTCGTAATTATCTCTTCCCATTAACAAAGAGTTGGGTGTCAAATCACGTTTAATTTATAATTATTTTAAAGTGTAATAATCCAGCTAACCTATTGAATTTTTTTGCTTAATTGTAACCGAAAAATATTATTCTATACAAATGTAATTTTTTTTAAAAAAAAAAAGTGCATTCAATTAGGGTTCGAGCGCTAAATCTTTCGGTCTACTAAATAAAAACTTATTGATTATAATCAATAAGATATTAATTAAGGTGATAACCGATTTCAATCTATCATGTGATTAATCAAGTTGTTACAATATTTCAACTGTTTTCCTCAAAATGTGGCTCAACTTACTTCTTTCTTTTCAATGTAGGTGACTAATCTTATCTGCTCTAAAAATGTTAGAGGTTGTTGTACAATGAAACCCTAGCTATAATGCATCAATAAGGGGATCAATTTTTTTTTTTTCCAACCGTTTCTGAAAGAACTCCTTAAACTTATTATTTTAAAATATTATTAAGCTTTATTTGTAAATATATTTTTAATTTCTGACTGAAGGTGGTATTTCTGTAAAATTCTTTCAAAAATAGTAACTCCAAAGTTTATATGGAAATACACTTTATATTAGTTCATCCACTGTCTATTAATTATTATAATACTCTCATTATTCCATTTTATTTGTATGGTTTGACAAAATACACATATTAAGAATCAATAAAAGTTATTTTGTCATTTTTTACCCTTAATTCATTAAGATATTAATAAAAATCATTCATTAAATAAATGATCATAAATGTTATCGTGAAAAAAATAATCATTCATGCACATAAATTTCGAAACTTTACAAATATTTTGGACATTCAAATAAGGAATAACAATCAAATAAAAGGAACAGAGGCACTATTACTTAAGCCTAAGTGTTATTAGGATAGAATCACAAATACCAATGTTGCTCTAATACTTACAAAAAACTTGCACATTTTGGTCAGAACAAAGATGCAATATAATTACTAAAAAATGTATAATATATAGTAAGAAAGAGAAATTTTCTTGACGGATTATATTAGCTTAACAGTAGGCATAACCATTGAATCAATTTCAGATGGAGATCAAATTACAAATGATTCGAACAAATGAATAAATCCCAGTTTCCAATATTGAAATTAAAACCGGCCAGTTTCCGACCATATCAACCTGAAAAAAAACACTCAAAACCTACAAAAATCATGTCAAAATTAGTAGAAAAATATTCGGTTTACAGTACCGGACATGCCTATTTAATAGCTAGGGGTGTAAGCAAATCAAGTCGAGCTTGAACTTACCAGACTCGAAGCACGGCTCGATAAAACTCAAGCTCGACTTGAGCTTCGAGTTCAACTCGAAAAATTTTAAATTTAAGCTCAGCTTAAAACTCGATACTCGAATAAGTTTAAATAAATATTATATGCATATATATATAAAAGTTCGATAAGATTTAACGAATTTTCAAATTGAATATTATTAGATTCAAGCTTGACTCTTTTATTACCAGATTGATTCGTGCTCCGTCTGAATCAATCTTTATTGAATTTTTCTCGATTCAAATTCAAGTATCCCGCGAGCTAACTCACCTTAGTTTACGCACTAAGGAGCAGCAACATTGGGGTGAAAATGAAAACTCATGGCATTCAATCAACCGCTGCCTTGTCGGAGCGTGAAATGCACGCTGAAGTCACATTGCATTATCCTTTTAAGTGGAACACAAAGTCACAAGCCTGAATAATTAAATGAATGGCTATGGTTAATGGTTATGGTTCTTTTTTGGTTTTCTGATAGAAATGTCACCTTCATCTCCAAATATCCCATCACCCAAACACAAAAGAGTCCTTCTAGTCAGGGCTCTGAAGTCAATGCCATACGCAATTTCTCTCTCTCTCTCTTCCTATATATATATATACTAATTGATTCGTAAAAGACTTGTCACTGGTGGCATAGATGCTGTTGGCCAGAAATTCCAAATAAATCCAATACCTTTTTTTTTTTAATCTCTTTATAATCCCAAAAACCATTTGTCCATTTGCTACTTAGCCAATCACCCCCACCAATTTTTTTTTTAAAAAAAAGTAATAATAAATTCCAATAAAAAGCAGTCACAGGCACAGTTTGAAAATACCCATTTAAACAGAAACCCAAATTTAAATATCTTAATTTCTATTTGCTAAGAAAAAAAAAACTAATAGGAGAGTGAGAGGGGAAGAGAGAGAGAGAGAGAGAGCAAGCACTAGATATATATGTTTTTGTGGCACAAGTACAACAAAACTAAACCAAAACAAAAAAAGCAAATATCCTTTCAAGCTTAACCCTTTTCTCCCTCCCTCCCTCTCTATTATCAAGCCTTGTTTTTCACTTTTTTTTTTTTCCATCTTCCTCTGTTTAGTGGTGGTGGTGGTGGTGGAAGAGTAGAGACATCAAGAAAGAAAGGAAGAAAGATATGGAAAGTACCACAAGAAATCAAGAAATGAGCAAAAACCCATCTCCAACGAACTCTCCAAATGGAAATAGCAATGGAAGCAGCAGTATAAGCGTCCAAATGCACAATACTCCACCTCTTTCTCCAATACCCATTTCCAGATCTGACTCTTCTAACCCTTACCCAACAACTTTTGTCCAAGCAGACACTTCTACTTTCAAACAAGTTGTTCAATTGCTTACTGGCTCATCAGAAACAGCCAAGCAAGCCTCTAATTCAAGAAATAATCAAGATCCACCAGCACCCACTAATTCAAGAAACTTCAATATCCCTCCTATGAAAAATATGCCAAAAAAGCAACAGAACAGTTTCAAGCTTTATGAAAGAAGAAACAACACTAATCTTAAAAATACTAGTCTGATGATAAATACTTTACTGCCTCCTGGTTTTGCAATTAATAGTCATAATTCTATTATTTCAGGATTTTCTCCAAGAAACAAGACTCCTGAGATCTTGTCTCCTTCTTTGCTTGAATTTCCTAAATTGACACTTAGTCCTGTTACTCCTTTGAATAATGAAGACCCTTTCAACAGGAATTCACCTTGTAGTAATAACAATTTTGGGAGTTATTCTTCATCATCCGAAGAAGAAAGAGCTATTGCAGAAAAAGGGTTTTATTTGCATCCTTCACCTATTTCTACTCCTAGAGATTCTGAGCCTCAATTGCTGCCTCTGTTTCCTGTTACTTCACCAAAAGCTTCAGGTTCTTGATTTTCCTCAAGATATTCAACTCTGTGATTTTCTTTTCCTTTCTTTTATGGTTTTGAAATAGATCAGAAGGCACCGTTTTGCTTCAATTGTACAATTTGATCCCTCTCTTCATTTTCTCATATATATATGGATGGTAAACTCTTGTTTAGCTTCTTCATCTTCTAGTTCTTTTCTTGTGTATTCTTGAGTGTGTATGTGTGTTTTTCCTTTTTTTTCCTTTTTAATTTTAATTTTTTCATAAATGAGGATTATCATAAAGTATTATAATGAGATAATATTATTTATGCTAAACCCTTTTCTTTAAATTTCTGAGACTACATTAACATGGGCAAATAATCATTATGGGTGGAGTTTAATTTTCTTGAATTATTCTCAGGAATTTTCTTTTTTATTTTTTATTTTCCCTCTCTTTTCATAATTACATATCTGAATTGGACATATGAATTTGATTGTATTAACTAGAAATAACGTTGAGCATTGAGCATTTACAATTTTTTTAGGCATGTTTTTACAATTTTGAGGGGAGAATTTATGTGGTCAGTCAATCATTGTAACAGCAGACTACAGAAGAGGTTATATTTGTGCTCTTAAAAAAAATAGGAAATTTTGATACAATTGAATTGATGTATATTAATGGCAATTTTGAAAATTCTAACTTGCTGAAATCACACAGTTTTTTGGTTTTGCATTATTTTTCCCCATTTAACTTTATCAAAGTCAAGTCCTACTTTTAGAATGTTATATATGCTATTAGGGTTAATAATTTAAAGGGAAATATATATTTTCTTAGAATGGCCCACAAGTATAGTTAGGCTTTTTTAAGAAGATATATTAATAAATACGTTGGTTTAAATAATAAGCGGACTCAATATAAGTAATTTTAATTTATGTTATTTTTGTAAGAATGAAATGGTAAATTTAATCTCATGAAGCATACTTCAATGAGGGGGTAAAAAAATAATTCTTTATATTTCAAACAAAAATTAATTTACGTCGAAAAAAGTGAAGAAATACCTTGTAATTTAAGGGGAAAAAAAAGGTTAAAGGATGGTTAGCAAAATCCAAAACAATAAACGAGTTATGCCTCATTGTTTTTGGCTTAAGCCTCTCAATTAATTTAAAAGCACCAGCAAACAAAACATTAACTATTTCTTAATATCAATTTAAATCAATTAAAAATAGAAAAAGATTAGATATAATCTTATTTTTATCTTTTTCTTTTTGGAATATTGGGGAGACCAATTGACTTGCATATCCATGTTTTAAGGGATATGTTCTTTTTATCTAACTTTTTTATTTCTGATATTAAAATTAGTTTCCACAGTTGATTCTTCTTATTTTTCATAATTTTTTCAAAATCCTAATAAAAAAATAAAATAAAGTTTCTACATTGAGGTTTCCCCATTGTCTATTAGTTATTACTACTGTGTTTGGCCGGTCAAAACTTTAAACGCTATTTTTTATAATATGTCGAAATGTTTAACGTTATTTTTTATAGTGTTCGGTAACATAGCGTTCGAACTAGCTTTTAGAAGTTAATGTAGCGTTTTATAAAAAGTTAATTCATTTTTTATACTGTTCGATAACAGTGTTTGAATTAACTTTTAAAAATTAATATTACGTTTTATAAAAAGTTAACTCATATAATATTTAATTTTTAACATTTTATAAAAAACTACTTTCGCATGGATGAGCTTGTAAGAAAAACAGCTAGTAATCACCGCTGCATAAAAATGTGATAGAAATAAAAAATAAATACTAATTTTTTAATTTCATGGATTTTTCTTTTAAAATTTCTGTGTAGGGTATAATGATCTCTTCTGTCTCCTGTAGAAATTATTGCTGACTGAATCTTGGATATAAGATATTCTTGCAGTTTGGCAGATAGTACTTAGATTCTTGGATACTCATCTTATATATAGTTGGAGTTGGATCTCGTTAGGGTTGTGTCCTTAGATTTTAGGGTATCCAGTAAAATGTATAAAGGGTTCTGCAAGGAATTATGATTGGAAGAAATTAATGGCTCTCTCTGTTGTTTCTTTCAAGAAGGAAGTAAACTTGTAAAGTCATTGTTTCTTGCTATGACGTTAACCTGCCATGCAATCATGCATGAAATATATAAAAATAAATGAGAATTAATTAAATATTTTTAGGGTTCCTTATTATTTTTCTCCTCATTTAGCAGTGTAATTTTTTTATATAGAATGGAATTTAGTTTATTAGTTAACTTGAATTTTTCAAAATTAAATTCATGGAGTAAAATAAATATTTTATCAAGTCAAATATGAAAAAATTTTATCAAGTCAAATATGAAAAAAAAAATTCAAGTGAAGTTTACAAAATTTTAATGAAATTCACTTATACTGAATTGCATAAATATCATTAAAATTTATATTTTAATTACCAAAGCTCGATTATATTAGTTGTTTTTTAAATAAATCAAGATAATTAAAAATAAAATAAATGGTATTTGAAAAATGTTTACATGAAAATTAAGTTTTTAAATATGGCAAACTCTAAGTCATTTGAAATAAATTTGAATTTTACATTTAAATTTTTAGTAAAATTGTATGAATTTTTTTTACATTGTGTTAAATTCAAATATTCAATAATTACAAGTAATTAAATAATCCAAATTAATTCCTATAATACTTTAAATAAATTGAAAAAAAAAGTCTAACTATATGTTTTTGTGTTTGTGTGAACTTATGGTCAGTCTTTTTTTGACTTGAGAGAAGACATGTTCTCATGAAATTAAAGTACAGAGAAAGAGAAAAGAGTGGGACTTTGGTATGATTATGGTTGAAAATGAAGAGGAAAAAGAGTATAATCCAAAACATAAAGGGAAAATATTAAAAAGAAAATGTGAAAGACTTTCTCTTTTCTTGCATATTTTTCTTTGTCATTATTGTATACATATATAATTCTTCGAATGTGTTAATGTAATAGACAAAGAACCGCTAAGATTTTTTTTTTTTTTAATTTTATTTTCTTTAATTGGTATACACAGATTATGAGTCTCTTCGGTAAAATTAGTTGTTTTGATAATTGTTAGTTATTTGAGTAATGTTTAACTTTAACTATTTAGGTTTTTTTTTTTTTATAAAACCCTAAAAACTGAACGTAATATTTAAAAACTAATTTAAAATACTATCTTACCGAATAATATAAAAGCTACTTCAAAGATTCTTGTCCAATGCCACCTTAATTTCTATTGGTAGGAAGAGATAAGTTTAGATGGATTATTTTAATTAGGTTTGAGCCACTTTCATGTTTGGTTTATATATATAAAATCAATTTATGAGTTTTGAATTGGATACAGTTAAAAGTAATTATCTGAAAATGAATTTTTTTATATGCATTTTTTTAAATTAAATAAAAATATGAAAATAAATAAGTAAAGATGAATTCAATTTTATTTATACTTTCATATAAAAAATGAAAAAGAGAAGCCACAATGTAAACAATCTTCTTCTTTTAGGAAAAAGTTATTTGTAAATAAATGAAATTAACAATAATAAAATAATTATTAGAAACTAAAATCTATGTAATTCACTATAAGCATACACTATTATGTTTACCAAATTTGCATAAATAAGTAAAATTACTGAAAATGATATCTTAAAAGTCTAAATAATATTTATCAATACATACAATTTTTGAATGTCTCAGATTATCAATATTTTTAAAAAATAATTATAATAAACAATTCATTGTATTTTCAAATCAATTATCTATAAATATTTTTGGAAAATTTTGTATAAGTAAGTTTTTAAGTTCAAAGTTTAGATCTTCCCTTGAGAAACAAATTGGCATCCCTAATTCCTATTAAAGGAATTTGATGTGGTGACAAAAAAAGGGAAAGTAATGACCTAAGCACTTACCAATGAACAATAAAAAAACAAATGATACTCTGAATGGTATACTTTTAAAATAATAATAATAATAATAATAATAAAGCCTTGTTAAAACTTTGAATTACTCACATAATTAATAAAGTTAATGGAAATTAATTATCATAAATAATAAAAAAAGAAATTGTTTTGTCCAGTGGTAGGTTTTTAAAAAGATATATAACAGCAAGTGGTAAGAATATAATTAGGCAAAACAGTAAAAGAATGCGCTGAAAGAATGTCAAACAGTTAATGGGTTCTTTCTTTTTTGTTTTCAATTACTTATGATGCTTCTTTAGATAATCATATCTTAATTTATTTTCTTCAAACTTACTAATGCTTATTTTGACATTCCCAAAAGTTCTTTATGCTTTTGTTGTAATGCACATCTTTGTACAATTATTAACTTTTGATTTAATGTTGTTTCTTAATATGATTAATTTCTTTTTTATTCAAAGAATCCATGTTTACAATAATTTCTCAAATTATTAGTAATAGTAATCTCTTTTTTTTTTCCCTTTACCAACATAATCATTTCCTTTCATTTTAGTAGAATTTTCTTTTTTCATAAATATTACACTAAAAATACTTTTAATTACATTATATTATATTCCATTACCACTTGACTTAAAGCTGCAATCGTTAACAACTTTTTAAATAGCTTTTAGCGTTTTCACTTTCTATAATTTCGCTATCATAGCATTTGAACTAACTTTTAAAAATTAAATTAGCATTTTACAAAAAAATTAAATCATGTAATATTTAGCTTTTTATCGTTTTATAAAAAGCTGCTTTTAGTATTTTATAAAAAACTACTCAAACAGCTAAATACTATTTAAACTGCTAATATATACCAAAACAGACCCTAAATGTTTTTAGCCATCCTTCTATTTTTGTTTCAAGTATTTATCCAATGATAATGAAGTCTAATGCACAAAACTTAAGGACTTTTTTGGTTACAAAATGGATTCGAATTATTTATGTTTTATGAAATTTTGTTTCATAAAATTAGAATATTTATCACAAATAATATCTGAATTCAAATAAATCCATGAACCAAACAAGGCCTTGGGTGATAGTTAATTTTAGGACCGTCTAGGCAAGAAAAGTTATTGCTAGCACTGTTTTATATTAGAAGAACATTACGAAAGCTCATGTTGCTTTATTGTCAGTTAAAGCATCACAAGCAATAACTTGCTTCAAAATCAAACTATTGGAGTAAAGGCTTTATTAATTCATATATATCAACAGATAAAATACACAGTTAGACATAAAAGACTGAAATATTTTAACCTCCCATGTCACTTTTGGCGCATTACACCAAGTATGCATCCTGGTTTCAGATTTCTGAGAAACTGTTAATTGTCTTGAACCCGTGATTCTCCGGAAGAGAAGCGTTTCCTGGCCGGATAGAAATCGCCACCTCCAAACCTAAATCATGGATGAAAACTCAGACAATAATGCAGCAAATAATATTAACATATAATTAAGACTGCACACGTATATAACCTGCAATTTAAAAAAAAAAAAAAAAAAAAAAAAAAAAAAAAAAAAAAAAAAACATAATATTAACATAATAATTAAGACTGCAACACGTTATATACCTGCAATTTAAAAAAAAAAAAAAAAAAAAAAAAAAAAAAAAAAAAAAAAAACTGCTAGGGGGGGGGGGGGGAAACCCCCCAAAAAAAAAAAAAAAAAAAAAAAAAAAAAAAAAAAAAACTCTAGACACCTTTAAGGCCTTAATAGGTACCAATAAATTGCACAAATATTTTGAGACTTCACCAAGAAAGACCAGATTTTCATATTTGGTATGGATGAAATATTCATCTTAATTTTATGAAATTCAACATAACCAAATCAAATTGTATCTTTTGTGAATAAAATGCATTTATTTTATAGTAATCAAGGCGAAGAGATGAATTAAGAAAATTCCACATATCGCATAATTTATCGAGCTCTTGAAGACCAGAGTTTCCACAGAAAAAAAGTTATGTTTTTGTGAGGGTATTCAAAAATCCATATAACCACATTCCAAATATCTCATGAAATTGAATGAATCATATACCTTAATCAGCTTTTAGGTAAAAACCTATAATTGAACCAGTGATCCCTTCATTGATCATGGTCAAAGGTGTTTGATTATTCTGAAAGGAGTTATAATATGATTTCTCACCATGTGTTCAAATCAATTGCCTACTCCTTTTTACAGTTTATTGACATGACATGAAAGGTTCTGATAATCCAATAATAAGGACAAGCAGAACAAAAAGAATAAAACAAAATATATATGATAAAATGGAAAGCCAGAGGTAGATCATTACCTGCTCCTTTGGCAGCCACAGCTTCTTGCAAGACATCAGTAATAAACAAAACCTCAGATGGTTTATCAACTCCCAAAGACTGAGAAATTTCGATATAACTGTTTGTTTCTTTTTTGTTCCTGTAAGCAAGAGAAGTTCATAATTAATTGTTATGTATACCAAAAAGGCATATTGGAAGGAGAGCATTATCTAAAAAGCTTACCCCACAGTAGTATCAAAAAATCCAGACAAATATTTTCTCAAATCTCCATAGTTTGTCTTTCCAAATATAAGCCTTTGAGCCAATCTACTACCACTAGAATAAATATACACCTGCAGCAAGACAAGAACAGTAATTAACACAACAAAACTAACATCCGTCTTCAAATAATTGCTCTTTTGCAAAAAGAAAAGGAACAATAGTAAATTCCATTAGAAATAGAACAAGTCTCAGACATGGTTAAAAGATATAAACAACTCTATTGCCACTTCAATTGAAGGGAAAACTAATCTTGAATTTCTGAACACCCTGGAAAATTCACCTTGCCAAATAAACATAGAAGACTAACAATCAAATTTGGATGTAAACTGGTGCAATTTGTCACATAAGATAATTTTTCAAGGAAAACTTAGATATATGTGTCTATAAAACTTCCTAGCAAATGAAAAATGGAAGGGGGGGGGGGGGGTTAAATTTACTGTACCAAACAGGAAAAAGATAGGGGTTTAAAAGTTTCTATGGTGCAGCAAGAAGATATAACCCATACTGTGACTAATGATTACACCATTTTATGATACTAGTATTCATCTGCCACACCATGACAAGTTACTTTTTTCCAATTATTCTTGGATCCATTCATAGAGTTGTGTGGAATGCTTTGAAGAATAATCCAGGTAACTTGATAAGTTGACACCAAACAGTGGCTTTGACATTACGGAATCACATAGGTGAAAACAAAATAGGATAATGAAGAAAAGGAGAATAACCTTGACACCCAAACAATGCCACTTCTCCAGTGCTTCTGGTACATCATCAAAAACTACTCCTTCCAATTCATTGTTCTCAAACCCTGTTCTCCAAATATGACCCTGTGAAATTCAATTTTAACAATATACCACAGAGAAGCTTCATACAAGGCACATCTATCTCTTGACAAGTTCCCAATCTATATTTCACAACACTTACTTGCAGTTGTTTTAAGGCAGTGATCTTGCGATCTGCTCTTATCATTGCTTCAACATTAGCAACCAAGGCTGCAACCACCTCCTCTTTCCCTGCATCATCTGGTGGAATGGGCACAGACCCATTAACACCTTGAGCCAGATCCTCTTCAACCTGCAGAATGATTGTTGAAAAATTAAAATTCTCATGATGTATCTAGAACTTCAAGCAAAACAAGGGTAATAATCAACCACTTAAGCATAAGAATGCATGATGAGCTGCTTATCCTAATTGTTCAGCTCTACTTTGTCAAACTTTTGAGTTCCAACTCCTAATGCAGAAAGCAGCTTCTATACTGCATCAGCTACTTCAGACACCACAATATATCATGACTTCATAAAATTTGGATCTGTCTCCACACTAATTCGATTAATGGTATAAAATTTGGATATGTGTCCAGATGATGCTGATTTTATCTGTTCCCAAATATATTTCATACTCTGAAAGCACATTTGCTGCTTTGAGTTGAATATAGAAGCATAGGGAGCAAAAGATATACTCACAAGAAGCAAAATCAAAAAAGGAAAAAAATGCAGTGGCATATACTAACGTTCACTTTTTAACCACATTTATGCTTCAATTTGAATGTAAAAATAAAATATATATCAACAAGAAGCAAAATGAAAAAAATGCAGTGGGATATAAACCAATTTTGAGTTTTTAACTACCTTTTGGCCTACTAAAGTTTCTAAGCAACCATGAAAAATATGATCCTAACAGGTCAAAATATCCATATTTATCATTAATCAACCCTTGGTATACATAATCATGTTATTTATTTTTTTGAATATGCATTTATCAAATGGAGGCACAAAATATGCATTAGTGTATTAATGGCATGAATTTCACAATAAAATGCCTGGATACTCAAGTAAAGGGGAAATAAGAGTCAAGGTATTCAAAAACTATATGGATTCAACTTGCAAAATATTTTAAAGTATTACTCCATTTTAATTAAGTTGAGCATGAAAAATCAATTAGCTTAAGTAATGAGTCAATAAATTTGAGTATTAAAACATGACAACTCAAGTAACTCATGTCTAACTGAATATTTATTTCTAATATAGTAATAAATATTTCTTATGTTATGTCAAATAGTGCATTGTAATGACTTGATTATGTATTAAAATATATGATAATCAAAATACAGGATATAGTTCAACTGATAGCAAGCAATAATCAACTAAATCTTAGTAACCAAATGAACAGACGCTAGCATGCAATAAAATGTATAAATCAATGTGCCAATGCATATGGACGGATGTGGATCTCAAAGCGAGTGAACTTCTCTTTTGCGAAATGAGTGGGAAACCTATTTATTCATTCAACAAGCATAAACAAACAAAACTTTTAACAAAAATCTTACTTGAGAACGCAATAATTTTATATCATCTTGAGTTTCTACAGTCTCATATGTAGTAGTCAAATGCCTCCCAACATTATCCCGGGCATATGGAAAAAGAACATCAGCAACGAATGATATTGGAGTAGTAGTCCCTTCAATGTCAAGAACAATGCAGCGCTGACACCAAATAATTTGGAAATTTTAATGCAAATTTGACGTTAAAATATAATGCAATTATGATATTCTAAATATTTCAAATTTAAAATCTCTACAATTTCCAAACCCGTGTGGATTAGTGCTACCGAAAACCATAAATTATATTAAGCCCTGAGGTATAAGGCTCATAAAAAGTAAAAGACTCTAAGCATTAGCTGTAACACAGCCAGTATTTTAAGAACTCACTGGCAGTGCTCCAATATCATTTGAATCCTTCACAGTCGCCTTGACAGATGTGTTTATGTTTCTGTTGCTGCCTAGAATTCCTTTGACATTCTGAACTGGACCATGTTCTGGAGTGGACCAGTCCAACCCCAATTGATGAAGTTTGATAGCAGCATCAAATAAATAGTGATAGCATTCAGCCTGCAAATTTTGACATCAATTTAAGGAAAGCATAAAAGGTAATCTCTGAAAAGTAACAAGATGCTAAAGAAAAATTAACCACTAGAGAAGAAAGATTGTGAAGCAAAATATCTGCATACACAAATAAAGATCATGTAGTTCAAAGTGATCTGAAACAATTGAAATTAGCTATTTGATCTCTCCACAGTATGTGATCCTGCTATGATAGTCAATCATTTATGACAACAAAAGTCCAAAATTAAAATACAAAACAAGATTGTATTTCAGAGAGAGAACAAAACAATAACTACTAAGCCTCGGTTCCAAACTAGTTAGGTGTCAGCTACATGAATCCTTTGGTACCATTTTCATTCTGTTCACTTAACGGCAAGAAATAAGTAAAGCAAAAAATAGGGAAACAAAGAATTTTGGATAAAAAAAAAAAATTTTGAAGATTTTAAAATCATTTGCTTTATTACGTAATAAACAAGCATAAGACAAGCAATAACAGAAGCCTTAAGCCTAGATTAGTTGGGGTGGGATAATGAATCTTTTGTCCCAGTTCTGTTTTATTCATAACTAGATCCTCATTAATCTCAAGAGAACATAAATCTTTAGCGACTCCTCTCCATATGGTTCTAAGTTTGCCTTTTCCTCATTTAGCACCCTCTATCACCAAAGCATCACACTTATACATGACCAAACAATCCAGATGTTCTTCTGTCATTGCTACTTACCTTTTGTCAAATGTTGTCATTCTTAACCTTGTCCATCGTTATGTGATCACACGTCTATCTTAACATCCAGATCTCTTACCAAATTCATCTTATGAACATTTGGGCATTTGGTGCCTACTATTCACTCCCATATAACATTACAGGTCTCACTACCATCCTATAGAACTTATCTTTTACCTTGTTAATTATTTTCTTATCACATAGCACATCTCATCCATCCTATTTTGAATTCTACAAATTATATCTTAATCCACCAAACTATCTTTATTCTCGTCCGATTAATCAGTTATCTATCAGACTATGGACCCTATTTTGAAAAACAAAGCCTAGATATCTAAATTTATTGTAAATTTCGTGGTCTTCTAGGCTTAGTAAAACAGTATCAATGAGTGCATTTGCAAAATAGTAAATGTAGATTAAGTTGAGGAAGTGGCAATTGAAATGGTTTGGGCCATAGTTTTAATTAAAAGTGCGTGTGAGGTGGAAAAGGCAGGCAAACATTGAAAAGGCAGAAAAGGCAGGCAACATTGATGAGGGGAGAGCTTTTGAGCTTAAGACACTCGCCTTTGCACAGGCACAAGGCGCAGAAAAGGCGCGCCTTTTTTTAATTTTGTCCCTTGCACAGTCAGCTACGTTTTCCTTTTATGAATATATGATTTAGCTGGCTCCACTCTTCATGTATTATATGTTTACGTTAAAAAAATAAAAATAATAACAGAAGAAAAGAAGAAAAACCAACAGATTCTCTCTTTCAGCCATCAAAACTCAGGTATGTACCTCTGTCTTTCAATCTCTCTTGCTTTTGCTTCCTTCTCTAATTCAATATCTTAAATTATAGTGGGTTATGCTGCCAAATTTTTTTCTGATTTTGTTAGGATTCCAATTAAAGAAACCCCTAAAGAGTGTGTTTAGTACCGAGAAAGAGTAGAAAATTAGAGAAAAGAAAGTGTAGAGAAGAAAGAGAGAAGTATGGAAGATAGAGAAAGTAAAGAAGTTATTATCTTTACAAATTGAAATTATTATCTTTACGGTTATATCAGTATATGTTTTATATTAGGTAAAATATAATTGGTCCCTAAATTATGTCCAAATTAACACTTAAGTCCTTTTACATTTGAGAAATAACTATGACATCTCTAACTTATGCTTTATCCCATTATCAAGTCCTTCCGTCCAAAGAGTGAGCATATTCCATCCAAAAAGTGTGTCTAATTAACAGTAAAGAACTCTCTTTCTAGACCTAATAGTGAGACGGAAGCATAAGTTAGAGATGTCATAGTTATTTTTCAAATATAGAGGGACTTACGAGTTAATTCGAACATAATCTACAGACTCAGTTATATTTTATCCTTTATATTATTATTCAGCTTTTTTATTTTGAAGTTATTATACATTTTTTAATTACTTTTTCATTTTTTGCGCCCCACCTCACTCGAATACGTGCCTACGCTCCAGCAACCCTTTGCGCCTTTAATTACTATTGTTTTGGCAAGCACAATCTATCTAAACCAGAAAAAGAGAAGAAAGGAAAACATCTATATAGCAGACTTCAAATAGATTGGCATTATAGTTTACCCGAGTTTAATTAAGCAAAAAAAACACAAAAGCAGTTCCTGTTATTTTCACTATGAGCCCTTACATGAAATGATAGTATACAACAACAAGAATTTTTAAGTTCCCAATGGGAACTTGTAAAGGATAATTGCCCAATTCAGTAATACTTAATAGGCTCCCATAAAGTAAAAAAAATAACCAACATATAATATTAAACAAAAATGGAAGGTGAAAACCGGCTTCTGAAAAAAATATCATTTGTACCACTATGGTTATCTTCCTTATGTTTACCTCTAGTTCAAATGGTCACCACTTCAAAATGTTGGCACCACTTCACATTTAACTCTGCTTCTCACCCTCTAGTTTTAGATTAATCAGGTCATTTGTCAGTGAATATTTTTTTATTTCTTACCTAACAGCAATATATCAGTTGCAGTACACATTAAAATAACCAAAAATTTCAGTTAAAATAATTTTTGTGGGTACCAACTTCATTCAAATCATTCAATAACAAACCTGAGTTTTGGCACTGATCCACGATTCCCCCCATATGTATATGCCATGGTTGCGAACAAGCACAGCTGTTGTTTTAGGGTAGGCTTCTATCTGAAAAGCAAGAATGAAGTTTCAATTAGTTTAGTGCATTATTGAATCCCATGAAAATATTCCATTACCATCCAGCTTTCCAACAATAGAAACATATCCATCTGCCATCAACTATGACACCAATAAATACAACGATAATTAATCACATTCACAATTGTGAGCGGTAGCATATTTCTTTTTGCCCCTTGGAATAAGAAATTGCATTATCTGCATAGAGCTGCTTTATGAGAACAAAAATGCTAAAACTAAAAGTGTCGGTCATATTATTTATTTATTATTTACTGTCAAACTCAAAACAAAAACAGATATGACCCTGTCACTGCTGTAAAAGTGTCATGGATCTAAAACAAATTTCCAAATTTATCAACTTTGACTTTCATTTTAATTAAAAACAAAGTATGAAATTGATCCTGCAAACCATGTAGCTCTTATAAGTATAATTTAAGTTGGATAGTAAAGTAGAAATTTTGAAGAGATTTGAGTATCTTTTCATATAAAGGCAGGGAAGAGAAAAGAAAAATTTATGCTGAGTGAATGCAGAGGTCTAAGGCATAAAGGCTGCACAACCACAACAGCCATTAAGACATGACATTTTGACTGCCAACACTAACATTTTTTTCTTAACCCAGTAAAATAGTAAGGTAAGATAAAAATTGTTACATGACACAATAGCAATAATTATCTCGCATATGATAGAGAGCAACTGCAGAATATAAGTAAAACAAATAACAAGAACAATCATTCACCGCAAAGCTAATGAAGCAAAATGGTATAGGGGGGGTAGAATGTTTTTTTTTTTTTAACAAATATCATATGATGTGCAAATATACCACATCATAGCTAACCATAAATTGTGTCTATTCCATAGAGATTATTGATCATTTACTCCCACGGTATCATTGTCTTCCACAGATAAACATTGAGGTCAGATGCTCTAGAATAAACACAGTGGTTGTAGAATGCAAGTTATAACAAGAACATACAGCTTTAGCAAGAGAATCTGTAAGCTGATTTTCATAGGCTGTATTCTCTATTATAGGTACTACAAGTTCATCATAGTAACCATGCCCTTGGATTCCTTTTATCATCTCCATATGAGTAATCTGCAAATGTTAATAAATAAAAAAGTAAAAATAAGTTAAGCAACAGAAAACTTGTAGTTGAGTAAAAAAATTACACATGCCACAGCACAGAATGTTTAATATCAATGAAATGAAGATATGACAAAGCCTTTTAGGACACTCAACAACTGCCCATTACAAGACACACCCTTTTTTAGTAATTTAATAAGGATACCGCTTTATGCCCTAAATTACAGTATAGACAGTTTCTGCAGTAAATCAAAAAGGATACATAAAAACCTTTAATCTGAAAAGGCTGTTTTCAAAGATGAGAAATTTGACATTCAGTTAACTTTCATGTAACAAAGACTGGAAGTATAATTTTATATGTAGAAGAAATTTCAAACCTTATGAAAATTGATTCACCTTTTCTTTTCTTCCTGAAAAACTAATTTGAATCTGTAAACCAGTTTTGCTCATTTCCCACATAATTATACCTGTTTGAGCATTTCTTAAATATGTAATTACTGACAACACCTGTAGTTTCATACTTTCTATAAATGTATCTTTTTCTCTTTTTTCTTTCGCTGAGTAAAAACAAAACAATTTCTAACTGTCACAACATACTCAAGGAACTACTTTTCTCAATCATAGCAATAGCAATGCCAAATAGACCCATAAGTTGGCACCAATAATAGAAACCCTAACTTTGAATAAGATAATAAGCTTCAGATCCCTATCATCTTTTTCCACATCTTACTGCAGGCATTAAGGTTTAAGCGGTTACTCCAACACATGCATAATAAAACTTATGCTGTATTGCTTGGTGCAGCTGCAATAGTGTATTTCCAATGACTACTCAGGATAGCTCTTGAGACAATCAAGCAGTAAAGCCTCATCAAACTACCAAAAACTCTGGTAAGCATGTTGACTTCATGTTTATGTGCAGGTAGGAATGATATGTAAAGAAGCTATCATGACAAATAAACACAAGAAACAGGGAAAAAAGGATTGAAAATTACAATTGCTTCATAGCACATAAGTACTTACTCGGAATTCTTTTGATAATGGATTGATCATTGTTACGAGACAAGATTCTATCCCATGACTGTGAATAACAGCTCCCGCATTACGCATCTCATATGCCTAGAGCAAACCAGAAATAAGTTTGAATATGACCATATCAAAGAAGATTGCAAAACCAAAATCAAAGAATGAAAGAACAACATCCTATTTCATAATATGTATTTGCAATTGATCATCCTCACATGAAGATCCAATAATCACAAACCTACATAAATAAAACATTGCTACAGCAGCACTCAAGCTGTCGAGCATTTAAAGAGACTATTATCAAGATGAAAAACGGGATCATTTGTACAAATTTGTCAAAAGTTACAATTATAAGTAATTTAAGAACTTACTGTCACAGTTACTTGATAATTAACTAATTAATAGTCAGTGGAGAAAGAATACAGGAAAACAAAGGACAAAGAAAAAGAAAATGAAACAATGCCTTCAAGAAGAGAGGAGCACAATCAGAACACTTGGGAGCCTTATTTGGGTAAGGCTTTGGAGATGGTGAGGACAATATAGAACCATTTGAGGCTAAGACATACATGTCTTCTGGTTCCATTCTTTCCTTCTGGACACCTGTCAAATTCAAAATCACAAAAGAATTGAGCGTTAATAAGGTAAATGGACTTAAAACACTAATAAGCAAGAAAGTTGCTGAATAAAATCTGACCAAGAATCACAAACAGAATAGACATCTAACAATTGAGCTTTAATAAAAAACAGTAATCAATAAACATGAAATGATGAAGAAAGCAAGTAACAACTGAACTTTTACTCAGACAAACAGAGGCATGGAACACAATTTACTAATTAACTCTATCTCATTTTTATTCAAATAATATAACTATATGGACAAAATGTTACTATATTTACAGTAAAAATATACAAAAATAAAACTATAACTATATAATAAAACAGTATAACCATATAATGATCAACCATATTTAATTAGATTAGCTAGATAATCCTTTTATGCAGTTGAACCCCTTTTAAAGCCACACTGGCTATAAAATTATGGGCCATGAACTCAAGTAACAGCTACCCTGTAGTCAAATAACAAAGAGCGACACAGAACTCAAGGTAAAGGTACAAATTCGAGCAACAAAGAGCAGCCATGCAAGCAAAGAGGCATAATTCACGTTCCAACAAAGAAAAATAGAACATTCAAAAAAAAAAAAATCAAACACGGAAAAAAGCATAAAAATACCTGAGTTTTCAACAACAAATACCCAGTAATCGACCATATACGATAAATTAGATTAAATACAAAATACCCAGAAATCCAAGAACACTTAAAAATGAAAAATAAAATATTTTAATTAAATTCTATGCATTGCATGACCAACGAGCAGCCAACACATAAACATACAAAAACAATATTTACCAGAAGGGGACATGAGAACGAGCTGTTGGGACTTAGGGATGGAGTCATCATGGACCTTGATTGTGATACTACCACCTGTACCAGAGACCCACCCAAGGTTATAAAACTGACGGCAGAGATCAGATATTAAAACCCTTGTGTCTTTCACAGCCTTGCTCTCCAGATAAGCCTGTGATGCCACCTTCACCGCTCCATTGACTGCCACAGCCGTTGCTGCCGCCGGTGCAGCCATTGCGTTGTAGTTTTAGAGAAAAAGAGAGAGAGAGAGAGAGAAAGAGAGAAACTGAGCTTGAAATGCAAGCTTTCGTTTCTGTTGTTGTTATCAAGTGAGCAAGTGACAATGGCTGCGATTTTTGATACTGCGAGGAGAGAGGTGATCAAGTAACTGGTGGTTCACCGAAATGCCATATCATCTATTGGCCCACGTGGAAGGTCCTAGATTACGGTTTTTTTTTTTTTTTTTGAGGTGAATCAAGTAACTGGTGGGTTTCACCGAAATGCCCATATCAATCTATTGGTGCCCGTGGAAGGTTCTAGATTACGGTTTTTTTTTTTTTTTTCAGTAACAATTAGGTTTTTTTTTTTTTTTTCAGTAACAATTGTTTAGTCCCAAATTTTAGCAAAATTACTAACATTTCTCAAAAATTCAACTCTAATAAATTATTTAATTCTTTCATTTATACGTAGTCATTCTGACTATGAAATGAAAAATTAAATAGTGATTTTATCATAGGGCGTCAAAATGGATTTGCATATTGGGTTTGATACGAATTACATAACGATATTTTATCAACATGATTTAGTAGATATGAAAATAAATTATTTAATAATCATGTCAAATTTTTTTTAATACGATCATTTAATATAAATATGACAATATCAGGAGCGAAGTCATACTCCAAAACTTAAAGGGGCCAAAAGAAATTTTTCAAAATTAAGGAAAGCCAAATTTAGAAAAAAAAAAAATCTTTCACTATTTACATATAAAATTTTTAAAATTCTTTTGAATTTAAGGGATTCCGGCTCCCAATCTCCTCCCTCTGCTCTGGACAACATTATTTATTTAAGTAAAAAGGTCACATATGGGAAAGAAAAAAAAATCCAACACGACCACTTAACCTAATATATATATATATATAATATTTAATCAAATTATACTTAAAAATACAATTAATGTACAAAATGCAAGTACTATGCCATTGACAAACAGATGATAACAAATTAACAACTCCTACGACATCTAAAGGGCTGTTCACAATTAGGTCAAATAAATGAAGTGGAAGTGATTTAATAGAAAATAAATTAAATTGATTTGGTTTGATTTTATAGACAACTTTATTTCCATTCAATTATTTAAAAAAAATTATTCAGTTTAAATTAAACCAACAATTATTTTTTAAAAAAAAAATATTCAGTTTAAATTAATTTGGTTTAGTTTAAAATTGAATTTGTTGAATGTACACTTTCATCCATCGTATAAAAGCAATAGTACCTAGTGGCTTCCTATTTGTTAGTTTGATTTTGTTGCAAAGGGAAATAAAAGAAAAATATATATTATTGAATTTTTTCAAAGTATTTTCATTTATTTGTTATGGTTTCCATTTTTTGAGTTTTAGTTTGTAAATAAAGTTCTTACATGGAACTTTTCTCAGAAAAATAAAAATTCTTACATGGAAAATAAAAACAATTGAAAATTTTTAGTCAAATTAATAGTAAATACATTACTAGAATATTACTATCATTATTTGTAAGATTTTTAAATTTATACATATGAATAATTATTTTTCTCATGATAACCTTTATGATCTTTCATTTAATAAATGATGTTATCAATATCTTGATGGGTTAAGGGTAAAAAAAAAAAAATGGCAAAATAACTTTTATCGACTAAATTCTTAATATTTGTGTTTTGTCAAATCATGTAAATAAAGTGGGACACAAAGACTATTATTTTTCAAGTTTATAAGTATGGTATAATTTAAACCAAAATTTGAAATCGAAAATAATAAAAAAATACTCACTTTGTCTCATTTTGTTTGCATGGTTTGACAAAATATACGTATTAAGAATTTAGTCAATAAAAATTATTTTACATTTTTTTACCTTTAACTCATTAAGATGCTAGTAAAAGTCATTCATTTAATAAACAATCATACATTAAGATGCTAGTAAAAGTCATTCATTTAATAAACAATCATAAAGGTTATTATGAGAAAAATAATTATTTAAATATATAAATTTAGAAACTTCTAAAATATCTTCAAACATTCTAAAAAGGAATAATAAGCAAACAGAATGAGACGAAGGAATTAATAATTAATGATATAATATAATTGCTATTACTAAAACCACAAATTTCAAAGTAAATTAATATATTTGACTTTTTATTTATGAAGCACTTTAACATTCTATTTAACAAGTCATCCTTTTTTTTATAATTGAATAGCTCTACCTTTTCAGAAATCTTAGAAATTTAGAAATAATTCATTATTAGAAAAATTGTTACTTCCTCTGTTATTTTTATTTAGAGAAAATTTTTATTTATGGTGTTCTTCTTGTATGGAAAAAATTATTTGAAATTGAAACTTCAAGAATTTGTGAAGTAGAAGGGTTTATTATCCTCATTTTCATTAAAAAAAAAAAAAAGAAAAGAGTTGTTTCTTTGCACTTTTATTATTTTTTGACAAGAGTTTTATTTTTCCTTGAAGGATTTGTGAAGTACAAGTTGGCTCCTTTCCAAGCAAGCTCATTAAACCAAGGCCCAGGTCCATTTCAACTAAGCTTGTCACAGTCAGGCCCATAAAATGATAAACTCAAATTTATTTCCAGGACTCACAAAATCCATACATAATTTCATCATCATGGCTCTAAAAATAAGCATTATGACTATCTTAATCTCATTTTTTGAACAATGACTCTTTAATTATTGTATTTTGTTTGTATCTCGCCCTCGTTCCTTTATAAATGGAGGGCTCTATTGTTAAAAGGAGAATGCTTCTGTCTCTCTTTTATGATATCAATATATATATATATATATATATAGATTGACCACAGTTTTGGAATCGCCGGTTCTAGTTCCGAAATTGACTGTTCCGGTTTCAAATTTTTTAGAATCGAAACCGAACCGAAAATTAACGGTTCCGGTTACGGTTTGGAAATGAACTGTTTCGATTCCTTAATGGTTCTAAAATTGACGGTTTCGGCCAATTCTCCGGTAGGTTTTTTGATCGGTTCGGGACGGTTTCGTTCAGTTCTAAATGGTTCCAATTGGAACTGAAACAGTCGGTTTCAACTGGTTTTGGGAACCGCTAGTTTACAATTCCAAAATTGGTGAAATCAAAACCGAATTGGTTTGAACCAGTTTCGATTCCCACCAATTTCGATTTTTGTTTGGACCGGCTCGGACCGATGGTTCTGGATCTGAAAACTGGATTTTGACCACCCTATATATATATATATATATATATACACGAAGTATTTTTTGTTTTTTTGAAAAAAAAAATGACATGTGGTATTATAATATCCTAACATGTCCTTCTCAATTAAAATTACATAATATTAGTATTAATTCTCATTCGATTATCATATTAATATGTATTAAATAATTAAAATTATTATAACATTATAACCTATTTTTTAATTAAAAATTATTAAAAATTATTAATTATTATAACATTATAACCTATTTTTTAATTAAAAATTACCATAATAACATGTATTATAACTTATCTTTTAAATTAATATTACTATAACATTGATATTGAATATCATAATTATCATTTATTACAATGAATGAAAATTTTATATTTAAAAGATTTAATAGAGAAGCTTGATGATGAAAATAGTTATTATTAGTTTTATTAATATTTAGGTGTTTGGGAAAAATGTTTGAGGGGGATGATGGTTTTTTGAAAATTATTTGAAGGGTTGAAAAATCAATTTAAATACCTCAATCTTCAAATCGCCGAATTGAAGTATAAGTATGGTTAAAAAATTTAATTTCTAAAATTATCCATAACTATATTTATAAATATTTCATGACAAGATTATTTTCATAATTTTTATAATTAAACATATCTTCTTCTGCCATCAAATCAAATAAAACAGTGTTGTTAAACCTTTATTTACTATATATTTTCCATAAATACAAAAAAGACATTTATCATACTTTACTTATCCATCTTTTATTTCATCCAAACAAAGCCTGAAGGTGTTTGTGCGATCAAGGTAATAGTTAATTATAAGGAAAAAAAAAAAAGAATTCAAAAAAAAAAAAAAAAAGGAAAATAAAAAAAAAAGGAAATAACAAAATAAAATTAATAAAAAGAAAGCTTAGTGAAAAAAAAAAAAAAAAAGGAAAATAACAAAATAAAATTATAAAAGAAAGCTTAGTGTTTGGTCAGCAGGGAATCCCTCGAACTAAACTCAGATTAACTTATCACTATTGCAGCTAGGATATAGCGATTAAGCTTCAAACCACGGTGAAGTTTCCAAGCTTTATTATCCTCTTCTCATCTTCTCCGTCCTCTGCCTCTATTAGCCATGTCAAGAGGAACGGACCGTCTAATAAAGAACGTGAAACAGTTCACAGACAGGCAATACAAGCAATTCACATCTCGTTATGGCCAACAAGTGATTGACATTTTCGAATTCCCAATTAAGGTGGTTTTGTCTCCTTTTACTCTTGCTTTCGACATTGCTGGTTCTGCTCCTCGTGGGTTTGGTATACCTGAGCTCATCTCCAAGCTCTCTTATCTTTCTGTCTTTGTAAGTTCTACTTCTATTGCTTATCTTTATCTCTATCTGTATCTTATGCTTGTTGGTTACTTTGTAAATTTAGAGAATTTTCTGCCTTTTGACCTCTACTTGTCATTTTCTTAAATGGGCTTTACTTATACAAATACTTTCCTGCATTGTATGAAATTCGTGTCTATATTCATTTATTTATGTGTATGTAATAGGATGTCCGTGTGTAACTTTGTTACTTTGGTGGTGGCTGGTTGGCGCTGTTTTAAGTTTACCTTTGTAATTTTGATCAATTGTTCTTGCTTTCACTCTTTTTTAAAGTTAAAATTGTATGTTTGTGCTGAATTTTGGAAGGTTTCATAGTAGTTTTTGTACTATGCGTGTCTTTTGGTGGGATTGGTGTCTTCTGTTCATTTGTGTACGATTAATGTCCAAACCCAATTTTTTTGAGTTATATTATATGTTGCATTAGCTTTGATGGATTGCTTTTTGATTGCTCCTTAGATTAAATGGATTATCAATTTTTTTACTTTGTGTGTCAAGTTGCATTCTAGCTCAACACTTTGTTTTGAAGTTTCACATTTTGATAATCTAGTGTCTCTTTGAATTGAATTTGTCACTGGGTTGAATGGTTCTCCAAGTGCTGAGCCATTGTTATTGAGGTTATTGTTCATAGTTGTATGCTAAAATATTTTTTATGTTATTTTGAAAGTTCAGAGTTGATTATTTTGGTTTTGTGCCTGTCATTAGTTTAAATGGGTAGTGGTGGAAGTTAGATTTTTGGTTGTTGGATTTTGTTTCTGATTTTGATTTTAAGATAATATTGGTGTTCCATCAAGAATCCATTAAGGTACTTGAGTTAAATTTTGTGATATACTGATATGAATTACCGTGTTCTGTTTCTTTTTGATTGCTTCCAAATAGAATGACTGGGTTTATGCAATTGCTTTGTGGCATAGTATCTCCACAGGCTACCAATTTGATTGAAATTTGACTTAGTGAGATTGTTGCAATTAATATCAAATTGATTGCAGGCTGTTGCAACTCTTGGGACCTATGATATTGCTTTGGAGCTGGGAAAGAAGGTGATATGTCAAAGGTGCCTGTCCTTACTTTTTGCAAATAATGTATCATATTGAAGCAGTAATTGCATTTGCTGTGGTTCTATGGTGCTTTCCACTATATTTTTTGTTTATAACCATGAATGCTGGCTTTTCATCCACCAATACGAACATTTTTTTCTGTTGCTAAGAATTATATTATGCATTTATTTTTCTGGCCTGAAAAAGTGAAATCCTTTTCTATTCAGCTCTTCCTAAAATATTTTATTTAAAAAAGTTTTTCATAATAAAATTTTTAGAACTGGTTTTTAATTTTTAATTATTTTTTTATGATTTTTTCCATTTGCTGTCATCTAAGCTACATGTAAATGCTTGTGATCTTTTTCCTTGTGATTGATACAAAGACTCTTATTTTATTTATATTAAGCGGTAACAAAATAAAAGAATGTAAAACCTGCAGGTCTAGTTTGATCTTTAATCTTTTATTTCCTTTACATGCCAATAAAATAATTTTGAGAGCTCTTATGTTTTATGAATTTATAAGTTCTCTCTTTCTATGAAATTCATAAATCAGCTTGTAGTATTTCTGTGAGAACAATGCAAACATTGACTAAAATGGGTGATAGTGCTTCAAACGTTTTATGCTTTTTATGTTAATATTCCTTTAAAAATAATGGATCATTCAAGTATTGTAGAGGTTGCATTAAATAATTAATATTTCTAACAATTATAGTAAATTGTGAAAATCTTAAGGTGATTTGAAGAGGATATATTGCCTATATACCTCATTATTGGAATTATCATGGTCTAATTGAAATGTGGACAAATAATTTACACAGGATAGCTGAAATTCACTGCTTTCTTACATATGTAATGCAGGAATTGTCGGACTTGCAATGGATGGCAGGCATTGCGGTGTACTATGTGCAAAGGATCAGGGAAGGTGCACTACCAAGTAAAAAATTACACCTTGAGGAGGTAGCTTATTGTCAAAACTCTAACCAAGATGAAAAGAGAAACCGTTAAACTAATAGCAAATGAAAAAGATCAAACTCTTAGCAAAACCTTTTATAAAAGAAGACTTTTTAGTAATAAAATTTTAATGCTTTAAACACCTCCAATCTGAGTTGTCCAAATTAGTGTGAGTAAGAGGATTCACAAATTGTTGTCATGATAATTACGTGTCTGCTCTCAGAAAATATAACAAAAAGAATTTGATTTAAAGAGGAGTGAAAAATAGGAAAATAGAGACAAAGAGAAAAGGGAGAAGGGAGAGAGGTGAGAGAAAGAAGAGGTGGATGAGAGAGAAGGTGAAGGAGAGAATGGATCGGTATGGGCCTTTTGTTTTTAAATATGTGAACTTCATTTGAAAACCTATTCTATACTGATAAAGTTTTGGTTTAGTTATGTAGATTAAAATTCTAAAGAATTGAATTCATAGATCTGAAATGAACTTTTTCTTTTGTTCCAAACAAGAAAAGCATGTATTTGAAATAAATTGTACAAATTCATTTGTACCAAACAGGTTGTCGGTATATAGCATAACTTATGTTTGCTTGATATCTTTTGTTGTATTCTTCTCATTGCATTATTTCATGCTGTTCATTATGACATAGTGTTGCTCTATGAAACTGGAGTTTAATGTAGATTAAATATTAGAATAATAGAGGTATATAACAGGGTCCGAGGTTTCATACTAAGCAGAAATTAAAATGTGTCCATTGAAAATTTAACAATGGTAGGGCAGAAGGAGATTCTGAATAATCGGATGGACTGAAGGTGCGCTAGTATGATCAGTTTTGTGAGTCAGATTGCAGCATATAAAGCAAGATATCAAGGCGAATATTGCCTATAAATCAAAGCATGATGGATGGAGTAGAGGGGCATGATTGAAGACAATATGGTCATAGGGTCTTGATGAATCAGCATGTGGAGTTAAAATGGGAGAAAAAGTTAATGTGACGACCTTCTGTGTCTGGATATAGACTTGGTTGACTTGTACAAATTGCAGTTTGTCTATTGAATTATAATCTATAATATATCATTAGTTAGTAATGGTTCAAAAAATCTTGAACCTTGCATGTCTTTTGAATTATATATCCTCCATATTGAATTTTATCAATGTGGTTTAAAGCTTGCATTTTGTTTCAAATTCAATTGTATTCAAAGACTTTGGGGTGTGTGCCTATGACGTGTTGAAGTGGACTATTGGTGGAACCAGAAATTGTTGACTTGGATGATGTCTACTCCTCCAAAGCACTGAGAGTCACTAAACAGTGGTATTTTACAGAATAAGGATCCAAACAAGTATCTTAAGTAGCTTCATGGGAGAAGAATTTTGCAAAATGCTACCATTTGGTAGGACCGAAGTGCGCTCAGTCAACAAGTTTATGTCATGCTTGCCATCCATATCAGCTCTATATGAGCATGGCACATGACAGCATTGGATATAATTGAAACAAAACCAGTAACCTGTCAATCAATTTGATTAATTTAAAGTATAAGAGACAATTGAAAACACAAGTAGTTCTGGATTTTTCAGACTATTATCCCTTTATTTCTTTTATTATTCTTTTGCAGTGGAGAGAAGGCTACAGCTGAATGCATTGCAGATGCTATTGCCAACAATCGGGCAGAGCTGGTGCACCTTCCATCCACTATGGATCTTAATATACCTTTGCCATCTAACGAATGTCCAACTTGTGATGGAACGGTGAGATTGATATTTCAATTAAGTTTTTAATATTTTTCCTCTTCTCATGATATATCATCATGGATGCCTTTATATTAAATGTAATCAGCTACTTCACATGTTCTTCTAACTGATGATAATCTATTGCAGTGAAATATATCTTCAGCTAATAATGTAGCTTTTTTTTTTTTTTTTTTTTTTTTTTTTTTTTTTTTAGATATGATCTTGATGATGAGATGTCTACTCCTCAAAGCATCAGGGAGTCACAACTAAAACGAGTGGTTTGAGTAATTTTGACACTAGAATAAGGATCCAAACAAGTATCTTAAGTAAGCTTCATGGGAAGAAGAATTTTGCAAAAAGTTGCCTATCCATCCTATCAGACGTCCTAAGGAACCTGATAATGTAAGACCGATAGTCAAGCAAAGTTATATAAAGTAATAGATTTTCTATAGCCATGCAACATATTCGAGTCTCTCTCATGGTGAGCATGGCACATGACAGACGCTATTGGATACTAGAATGGTAAAGACACACGCATGTGAGACCCTTCGCTTCAATCAATTTGATTAACTTTATGAAAGTAAGCCTTATACCAGAAAGACGAATATGAATAGACGACAAATACGTAAGTGTCACTTCGGACTTATAATTGTTCACATGACCTATTTTATCCCACTTTATTTATTTTATTGATCTCACTTAAGTTAGCGCAGTGAGGGGGTAAGTGCGATCAGCTGATATGATTGCACAGATGCTCTTATTTTGCCACAATTTCGGGTGCGCAGGGAAGGACATGGTGTCTGGATCCTTCCACTGCGCTACTTATGAGAGAATCTTGAACCACTATATCGCGGTTAATGTCATATGTTCCCTTGAGTTGATTGGAAACGGGTGTAGATTTGTAGTGGGCTTCCATATTTGCAACTGTTATAGTTTTTTCATATAATATTTTATCCTCTTACCTACCGAGTGTATAGATCTATTCGAGCTCATATAGGAGTACTGCATACTTCATATAATATGTTATATTCTATGTTAGCGATACACAATAGATGCTGCCTTCTAACTGATGATAATGCTATGTCAGTGAAATATATCTTCAAGCTAATTAATGTATTGCCTTGTTTATATTTGTATATGTATGATTTTTAATATTCTTATAATTTTTATAATTTTATGTATTTTACAAATAATTGTAGAGAATTAGTCCTTCATGTATTGCCGTAAATGTGTATTAAGCATTGAAAGCCCGTATTCTTGGTGCTCTGAGCACCTTAGATTTGATTAGGTTGATTAGCCAGCATAATGAATAACATGTGGCAAGAGCTCCTTTTTCTTGAACCGAGGCCAACATGAATTTAACCAAGCAAATCGTCTTGGTATGATAATATGTCGCTTAGTGCTCATAATGGTCGTATTAATCTCGCACATTATGAAGTGCCTCTTCGTGTATTATTGAGTCACTTATTCTAAGGAGAGTGACAAAATCTTCTAGTATATTTAATGATTTTTTTTTTTTTTTTTTTTTTTTTTTTTTTTTTTAATATTTAAATGTCTGGATGGAAATGTGTATTTAGCATTCTTGTGATTTTTTTACAGCATTAATAATGGGAAGCCGGAGGCACATGTTACCTCTCTTTGAGTATAAGCTGCATAAGGTTTTCTGAATATGAAATGTTTGGTTATGATATTTGGATCCAATCGTTATTGATGTTTCAGGGTGTTATGGGCTGTCCTGAATGCAAAGACAAATTACAAGTCAGGATCTCTGCAGATGATGTGAGTTGCTTTGTGCTTTTTGCATTTTTGTTTTTTAACTTTACTGCATTGGTTTGAAGGAAGGAATGATTATACAGTCAATTAGATGCGTTCCGTATAAAAATGGAGTGCAATCGCATCTAAACTAGCATGCAAATAATTTATTTCATGCGTGCAAAAGCTACAAGTTAGCAAATCTCTTTCCTTTTTGGCCCCTTTCTTACTAGAATTATTCTTTTTAATGGATGAAAATGTAATCAGAAAACATGTATCACTTTTATCATCAACCAGGCTGTGCCTATTCTATGCAACTTCACGGCCACTTTGTTATCTACTGTATTGTACTCATTCGTTTGTATCTTTGCCTTGAGGGAAGAAGAGTTATTGATGCAATGACTAAGCTTTCCTTGGGTGATTATATTATAGGAATCATGTCCATTGATCCTTACAGCCTTCATCTGATTCCTTCTGATATTTGCTTGCTTTCATGCTGTGAAAAGAGACAGCTCCATTATTTTATTCCCAGTTTTGTTGTATAGCCTCTATAATTATTTAAGGCACAAGGGAAAAGTAGTTGAGCAGTGTAGTTTCTGTCAGAAAGATAGCAAGTAGAAAATCAGCCGTACAAGTAATTTGGTTTGCTAGGAAGTGTTGTTAAAAAATCTTTAAAGTTGGGACCATAATTTTGATGATTCAGTCTCATTGCTGCATTTACCTGGGATTTTTATTAACAAACATCACTTGTACGTATAATCGAATAATAAACTGAGGTGGGTTTGTGTATCTTCAAATCATCCAGCTATGTGTTCTAAAGTTCTTTGATAAAACCTTATTGTTTTTTTACTGTGGTTTACTTTAATTCTGTAGATAATGGAACCTCCATGGAAGGCCTATAACATCATGAGAAAGATGGACTATCCTTATGAGGTCAGTGTCTTGTGCTCTTGTGATAATTTTTCAAAGTTACTTTACCTCTTAAGGTTTAGAAAGCCATGAAGTGTTCTCTCTTTATATCTAAAATCATAGGAAGTGCACCTTGTACTTGTAGCGCTCAAATATACATAATTTACTGAAGTGATGTGAGGAACGTGGATCTCTGTTTTACTTTGCCATGTATCTTCTTTTGGTTTATTTGTTCTTGGGTTGGTGAATATGTTTTAGTGGTCTGTACTTTCAAGTGCATTAACTTTTGTGGATGCTTTTGTGGGTCAATGTATTTGGAATGCACTGGCATGCACCTTGGGGATATTGTTAGCCTTCTACACTCCTTTTATTTTTGCATTATTTCATCTTTCATAATCATAATTTATATTATCAATTTGATGTTTTCTATATACTGGAACATAGACTTTACAGGATCTATTTTTTCTTTGCGTACTGGAATGCTAAACAACAGCTCCTTCCCTACTAGCCATTATATATATATCTTTTATAAGGATCTGTACTTACAGTCATATGAGGAGACGTTCTAGTGGGGCTATAATTTTGTGCATGCTTCAATGTACTAGTTGGCCAAAATGGATCATTATATATCAATTGTGAGTTTGTTACTAAAACTTTCGAATGTTAAGTTGTCTGCATTTGGCTCTAACTGAACTATGTGATACATGAAAAGTTTGGGCTTGTCTAAACAAAGTGCTAAGTCTGGTTCATTTAATTTGCTTATGAACCAATCCTGTGCCTCATTTCTTGGCATGGTTAATAAATGAGCCATATTTGATGCATTAGTCTAGATTAACTTCACCTACACTTATGAGATTTTTCATCAAATTCTATTGAACTCACTAGACCAAGTTATATCCAAATTCCATCTAAATATCTGATTTGAAATCTATATTAGGCTTTTTAAATATATATTGTCTACTTAATGGACTGCCCAAGTCTTCTTTTTTCTGTCCCCTATCTCCTCTCTCTCTCGCTCTCTCATCTCTACGGTAAAAGATGTGAAAAACAAAAACCATAACTGGGAAAGAGAATAACAGAGTGGGAAGTAAGAAAGAGAGATAGATACCAATATTTCTTTCGTTTTATGTCTTTTGGAGAGATAATGAAGAGAAAATGTCTTGGGTGACTCACTGAGCATATAAAATGACATGATTCTGAAAGCATCTCACTTATGTGTCACAACATACATGTGGTCCCAATTTCCCCAAATCTTGTCTCTAGTGGCTTTATTTGTTACATAAATGAAGGTTTAGCAATATCGGAGAAACAATTTGAAATTTAGTGATTTTAGTAGGATGTAGTGACTACTTCAGTTACTGTGAATGAAATTTATTCCATTATGTTTCAATAACAAAAGACAAGTTTTCAATAATATACTATCAGTTATAGTTACTTTTCTACTAAAGCTGCCCATTTGCTTTTTATCATTCTTCACCCTCATTTAGTAATTGGCTTGTAAAAATGAGTTGAGGTTCCTGAGAGGCTAGCTACAATTACTGAGCAGTCAAGCCAACTTTGTGTCATTATTGATCTGGCCAATATTAATAACATAACTTTGAAACATGGTGATTATTGAGACAAAAAAAATTGGCTTAACCTATAAAAAAACCCTGAGGTATGCAACTTGTTGCAAAAATACCCTAATCTGACCTTCGTCCCCCTGACACCCCAATTTAAAAACTTTGCAATATTATCACCCTAAAATCAAAACTCGCTAGGGTTTTAAATAAATACAATTAAAATGGGTCCCACCAAGCTAGCTTGGGTTAACCCAAGCTTCTGGACAATATCAAAATACCACCGTTTAGTATCAAGTCCTTCCCTATAATCTGAAATTAAAAAAAAAAAAAAAAGGAAAGAAATGATGATTTGTACTCTTAAGAAAAGAAATAAAGAGTTAATTAAGTTATTTTCCCTTAAAAATTTCCTTTTTCAATTCCTTGAACTGTTTACCTCGTTGTGAAAGCGTTGAGAAGCAGACTTAGCATCTGCAGCTCTCAAAAGAAGGTACAATTTCTTCAAATTTGGTTGCAGTCTTAATATTTTCTCCACCGTACTTGCACAATAGAAAATAACCCATAAATTAATTTTATACTCAAAAAGAAAGAATAAAAAGTAAAGAAAGAAAATGAGGATTTGTACTCTTTGCTAAAAACCCAGTTGCATCAGTGGGCAAAATATTCTTGTTTTCAAGAAATTGAAGAATGCTTCCAAACTCCATTTTCACAGAGAGAGAGAGAGAGAGAGAGAGAGAGAGGGAGAGAGAGATGAGTTATTGAATAGGTGGATTCGTCCACTGATTCCAATCCATACTCTCTATCACTCTGCAGCAGTCTTGGTATCATCAGAATTGACTCCGATGAGGAAGAAATGAAGGCTTGCGGCAAAGTATAGAGTGATGATTTGACTCTGGCATCGCAGCTAGAATACCGGAGTGCTGCTGAAAAGATTTCCGGCCATTATTTTCCTTGGGGGACTGGACTAAGATTTCTCTTTTCGTCTTCTGCACTGCAGAAGGGGAGGTGTTAAGGAAACAGTCGCGTTTTGATATTGTGAGCTTGGGTTAAGTTAACCCAAACTAGTTTGGTGGGACCCATTTTAATACTATTTTATTCAAAACCCTAGCTAATTTTGATTTTAAGGTGATAATATTACAAAGTTTTTAAATTGGGGTACCAGGGGGACGAAAGTCAGATTAAGGTGTTTTTACAACAAGCCGGAAACCTCGGGGTCTTTTTGTAGGTTAAGCCAAAAAAATTGCCATTCTCCAGATATGAACTCGTTAAAGCAGGGTTCCTGAAGGGAAAAATGTGAAAAATGATAAAAGGCAAATAGGCAAGTGAGTGTATGTTCTTTTATATATGAAAATCTTACCATTATTATTTTTTTACATGCACTGGTGGTTATCATAATTTTAGGCATTAGGCAGTCTTGCATGCCCATAAAGTATTCCATTGTGAGGTCTTTGGGTTATTAATAAGATGTCAAGAAATCAAAATCCTTAAGTACGCCACAATTGGAATTGAAAGTTGATTTTGTTTTTCATTATTATATCTTTATATCTTTATGGTTTATTTTTTTTCCTCATCTTTTTCATTTTCCAATTCCCCATTGTTGTTGGAGTCCCTGTGTTTGGTGCTTAAATCAGTTGATAGGTATAAATATGATTATTTATATTGGGAACTAGTGGATAGTAAATGATATTAGGACATACTTGATAGTTGTTTATGCTAGTTCTTTTATGATGGTATAATAATTTTGTGTTTGCTGTTTCAGCATATAGTGGAAAGCATGAAAGATCCCAGCATTGCTGCATTTTGGTTATTTTCATTGCCCCAAATTGTGGGTGGATTCAATTACGATGATGATGTCAAGCAAAAGATTTGGTGGCAATACAAGGTTTTTACTGCATTTTGTTTCCTTCTCCTCTCTTTTTCTGATGCTATTCACATGTTGTAATTTTCCATATACTGGTTGCATATTATTGCTTGAAAAGTCTGGCATCTTTTACTCAACCATACTAGTTTAGCCTGTGCCTAGTGAAAGGCGATCATGTGCCTGTATTATATTTATCAAACTGATTTTTATTTATTTATTTATAGGTACTGCGACGTTGGGCTGAAAGCTGTATCTAGTGTAAATGTGCTAACAATGTGTGATGTCTTCATGACTTTATCCTGTTCGTCCATTTTTTCTTGGAACTGCCATATCCCAATGTGAAATGTTATCCCATATATAAACTAAATAAAACAATTGTCTGTTAATCAAATATGCCTAGTAGTTTCTACTGACAATCAAATATGCAAAGTAATAGTGTGGTGTGATCTTTTAGTTCTTTAGTTACAAGATCATCTTGATTTGTCTTCTGAATATTGATTCTTTTCATAAATGGTCATGCATGTGGAAGGAAAACTGACACTCATCCATCCCTTTATTCAGAAAGTTGCTGTACCCTGTACTTATTTTATATTCGGATGCCTCCTGCAGTTGTAGTTGTTGTAAAAATGTTTGGAATGTACTCTTTGAAACTTAAACACTGCTCTTCTATCAATTGGAAAAAACCTGTGCTTATAAATTGCATTACTTTGTAATGTAAAACTATGTAAATACATTTTACCTTCTCTGCAAATTTTTCTTTTTTTAAAAAATTCAGGCTTTATTATTTTCAATATTTAGAAATTTATGTTCTTCTGTATGATCTCCTTGTAATTCAGAGTTGATGATTCGACTATGGTTGTAAATGGCATGAAGGCAAGCCCGAGCCCAGCCTTATTTTTTATTTTATTTTATTTTTTTTTTTGGCTGAGCCCAATACCAAAATCTCATTTTGTTTAATTTTTCAATCACCTTTAACCCAAGTCTAAAGCAGGGCTGTCCCAATTACGTGGCCAGTAATTTTTCCTGTCCCTTTGTTTGTAATATCCTCATATTATTATTAAGCTGGATTTTTAATCTAACACTTCAACATATTGCTATGAAATGGGGTAATTTGTATGCAATAACTTGTTACTCCAACATGTTCAAGACTTTCTATGGCTACAAGCCAGATTACCATTTCATTTTGTTACCTTCATTGATGTTTATTAAGGTGTAATTTGGCTGGTGTCTTCCTTCAGCTATTTGATTTTTCTATTGTAGGAATCTATGCGGTATGATCAACTACGGGATGTGGTAGCAAAGAGAAAACCAGGATGGGAGCACTTGCAGGAAGTAAGAGAATTTACTTCTGTTGAATGTTCTTATTTGGAAACTGATAGACACATTAATAATGCATTTTATTTATGAGATTTGCAATAGTCAATCCACCATTTATTCATTAATTTATTCTTTTACTATCTGATTCTGTTTGTTTTCATCTTCACATAAATTTAATCAATCCCACTATTCAGGAGGATGAATGAGAATTTATAAGCCTACATTTCCTTTTGGTTTGCAATTGAGGTCTTGTTTTACTATTTAATTTTTATCTTGCAGTCCGGCTGATTTGAATATAAATGCATAATCTTCTTTCACCACGTTTTTCCTGGCTAGCCATATAATATCTGATAGTTATAGCCTCAGTTTTAATGGGTCATCAACAAAGTTATCCCTGCTTGAAGCACCTGAAACAGCCTCTTGTATGTTTCAATAAATCTGTATTTCTGTCATTGAGAACTAGTAGTTATGAAAATATTGAGTCCTTAGTTGCTGACCAAGCTTTTCATTGACACCTTCAACAGCCATTTTGTCTTTGAACCCAGTAGGTATTCTGTGTTGAGGATAAAATTGGTGGAAGTTTCATAATGAACTGGGAATAAATTTTTTGAAAAATTTATTGACCACTTCAACTGGAATAAAATAAATAGCCAAATTGCTGTAACCATTTTATCATTATCCCCAGAATGATTGATTAGGTTTGAATTGTCAAAGCACTGATACTTGGTGATAGATATTATTGTTAGACATTCTGAATAGATATTATGATTGGTTAATTCTGCTCCTAAATATGTATCCCCAGAATGATTGGTTAGAAGCAGAATTAACACCTTCCAGGTGATAGATATTATTGTTGTTGTTTACTTTTGGCTTTAGTATTGGTGAAGAGTTCATATCCAGATTTAAGATTCCAGATATTCATCACAAGGCATGGCCATGTAGATTATATGTACTTCATCATTGCGCAGTTGTTTTTTCTAACCGTCATTCCTAAGCTTTTATGTGTTCTATTGTCAATCAAACTCTTGCACATGTAAATATGTACTTGGTGCATCTGCATCTGCTTTAATTTTTGCCCAAAATTCTAAGATTCGAATTTTAACTTTCACAGGCCTTGATCTCAATAGATCCTATCCGTGCCAGAGAAGATCCTGTGATTGTAAAAAATATCCCATACTACAAGGCCAAAAAGGCACTGGAGGCAGAGGTCATGAAACTTAATCCTCCACCACGGCCACAAAATTGGGGTGTAAGTATTTGTTGTCACCACACTGTATGTGCTGATTCTTATTCTGCAACACCTATGCATGTTCACAATGTCAATGGTTGAAAATAAAGATAAAATGGCCAATTAAACAATGATATTAACATAAAACATCATGCAATTCAGTGTTTGGACAAGACAGGAATCTAGATATAATTTGGAACCAACAATGCTTTTATGTTATCTTGTTGTTCCAAGGAAGGAAGCAAACCAGACAAATAGTTGGTCAGCATCTGTATTTACTAAAATTGGAAATAGTTGATCATTGGCTTGTAGCATTGTGGAGGGCTAGAATGGGCATAAGGTGAATTTAGATTCTAGTCTTACTAGCTAGCTTAAGTTGACTAAACCTTAGTTTTAAACAAGATGTGGTTGGATATATAAATTATACTCCATTCCATCTGGTCTGAAATCATTTTTTGTCATCTTCCCCTTTTAGCTGTTTTACATGCGACTGTTCATGCATCAACTTTTTCTTCATTTATTCTACTTAATTTTTAGGATATATTTATTTCTTTTCTGTGATTCCTTTCATTATCAATCATATATCATTGTCTTACTGTTCAGCTAGGCTTCTCTTTTGGACGTATTTCTTTATTGCCTATTATCTGTTACACAAATTTATTCAAAACACACCAAAGGAGGTAAAAAAAACACTAGATCTGGAGTAATAACTAGAATTCTGTGCCAAAAAGTATAATTGGTATTACCACCATTTTACACAATTTTCCCTTCATCTATTTAGGTACTTTACAAGCAGAAACAAATTGATATTCTTTTATTTCTTTCGTCCTGCTCTAATTTTTGGGGTCATTTTGTTTCCTGGACCCTCATTCTATTTTTGGAATTAATTAAACTTATAATATAAGAAGAGAAAAGAACATGGAAATGCTCTGCTGCTTCTGCATATCCAGTATTCAATTAACTGTCTTTCAGCTTACATTAGCTTCATTCCGACAGAACATGCTAATTTCACAGTTGTATTTAGAGTAGTTTCTGTATCTTCCAAGTAGATTGTAATTAGAAAATCTTTCTGAAAAAGAAATAATGCCCTGGCAATGTGGCTGGATTTATTGGTACGGACCATTATAGTGGCTTCTTGGCAGATGTATCATAACAAAAATTAGTATGTGATGGTAAATGGAATATGTGGAATTTCTTGTTTCTGTAATGAGTCTAACTGCAGCCTGTTGACAGGAGCTGGACCTTCCATTGAATGTATCATCCTGGAGTGAGGAAGACCTTAAAAATCCAGAAAAATTCTATGAGATGACTGTTCTTCTGAATGCACAAAGAGAAATTGCTGATAAAATTTTGGATGCACAATGGGAAACTAAATGGCGCCAAGAAAAGGTTGGTGCATTTTCATCTGCTCCCATCTATATATTACAAGTCTCTGAACTCCACGCCTATATTCATAGGAAGTTACATATTCTTCATTGTCTTATCGTCACAATCATGCATTCAAGCCATGGGACAATGATTTATTAACGTTGCATGACACATTTTTTCTTAGTGGTCTGTTCCCAAAGACTTGCAGAAAACTTTTCTTCATGACAGATATTTGGGTTGTGACATCATTGTAATTTAAGCTGCATCAGGGAGACGATTAAGAATTTTTAAGGAAATTCTCCATTTTGGGGTAATTGCATTTTCAGGTGGCATTTATTTATTAAAATGTAGTAGGAAGTTGAACATAAATCCGTGAGAAGATTATAGTTATGGCGCTATTATGGGAATGTATAATATTTTCTTTCCTTTCAGGAAAGTAAAATTACAAAAAAGTAAAGGATTAAAATTCTTGACTTTTGGGCCTTCTGGCCACTAAAGTTGCTGAAATTGTTTTTTTTTACCAACTCCTGATGAAAATGTATCTATATTTGTAGGATGAATATCATGGTTACCCATACTGCCATCTCCAGCAACTCTCAATTTAACATATTAAAAGAATTGATTTTCTTTTCTAGCAGTTTCGTTCTTACTTTTTGGTTGCTTGAAGGGTTATATTAAGATGCCTATTTCATACTCTGTTATCAGAAGTATAATGTTGAAAATGCAAATACCAGAAAAGACTTTGCATATCTGACATATGAGAAGACTTTGGAAGTATGCTTGAAGAGTTTTGTTCTTGTATCTATGAGGTTCCAAATGCTTTTCTGCGATGCCTCGGGGGGGTTTTTCCACTACATACCACTGCTATATGTTTGATGCAGCTTTCATCTTTTTCTTCTTCCTTTTCATTTTTGCTCATGTTTTCTCTCCCCCTTACTTCTCTGTCACTTTGAGCATCTCATGAATTGATGCCAATGTGATTATATTGTTTTTCAGTTGAATGAGATTTTGGAGGAGAAGGTACGGCCATACATTCAGAACATCAATAATGCAGTACTATCCCGGCCTATTATAATGCAATCACAGAATAAGGATAAAAAGGTTTCCCTTTCTTTCCTTTCAATTTCTAAATTATTCACTTCTGTTGCAATGAGCTAGAATCAGGTAAACATGAAAAGATTATTATCTATGTCAATCTGATAGAACCAAACCATTCATTTTGCCATTGCTTTGGAAGGCCATGTTCGGTGCTCGAGAAAGTATAGTCATCTTGGTCCTTTGTTTGGACATGATTATTCTGGCAAATTGTGCAATTCTCTGTTGTCTGCATCCCTCCCCAATATGTGTGGTGCATGTACATGGATTTTTAACCGAAGAGACATGTTTTGGCAAGTTCTACTTCTAGTGTCCACATCAGTAGTATAGTGTTCCTTTTCTTGTTCCATTCATCAAAATGATATGCAGTTGAGCCTTAGCTATTCTCTTATTAGCTTCAAGATTTTGGACTTAAGTGGATTGATATTTGACTTCATTTTTATAATTTATTGATTTTTTTTAAATAAAAATGTTTTTTAATATCACTGGTCTCAGAAGAGAGAGGGGATGGGAAGAGAAAAGAAAGGAGAAAATAACATACATTTTTAAATACCAAATCGAGGAATGGGGGGGGGGGGGGAATTTTTAAATAACAAAATCGAGGAATGGGGGGGGGGGAGGTGGGGGGGGCTCAACTAGTAAGAGGGTTCATGTATGCCTGCATGAGTAGCAGATAACGTAACGCATCCTATTTCTGATCTCATGTAATGAAATCTTATTTGCTGTCTATCAACAAAATTGAATAGGTTTAACACGTGATTCTTGCTTGCTCTATATAATGGTTATTTGATTGTGCTGCTGAATAAGTTGCAACACAGGGTTTCCTGCAGTTGCTAGGCTTTTGGCACCATATTTTATTAACATCGCTTTCCATGAAAATTAGGTTCCAAATTCAAATCCCTCCTTGGCTCCTCCCATTCCACCCACCATAAATCACATTCATACTCAATCTTTGGTTTCTTTGATTTATTCTTGTGAGCATATCTAGTTATGGTTTGCAATTCTAGAACTCGTTGAAATGCTGTAACTTTTGCAACTTCTTATGTTTATTGCAGAGGAGTCGGCAAAGGAGATGGTGGTTTTTCTGAAAGTTGCTTTACACATTTCCCTTGTCTTGATGCCTTTTTGTTGTACAATTTGTATTTCTTCCAATTTCTTCACTCTGTAATTTACATTTTTCCTTTTATCTTTACCTTATTCAAGGTCATTTTTGAAAAAAGAGAAGAAAAAAAAGTAGTTGGAGGCATCTCTCTCTCTCTCTCTCTCTAGCATGTTTAGTGTATCTCAATATAATTATTTTTGTTGTATAATTTGAAGTTCTCACATGTTCTTCCGCTCTTGATGTCTTAAGTTAGTTGGACTTGTATTTGATCAATCTGGGGATGCTGAAAGAGGAATTTCGCTGCATATGTTATCTTTCTCTTCCATTTTACTTGTATTTTAGTAGCTTCACAAGATGTTTTAAAGCTTTTTAGATGCTTGTATACCTATAAAATGTTATTTTTGTTCTCCCAAATTATGATATTAGGAATTAGACTTGTCTAGACCCGGTTCATCGACTCACCCATAAACCAAACTGATCAAAAAGATTTTTTAAAATTGTTTTTTTCCCCTCAGTGAAATGGTAGAAATATCATTAAAGAATGCTATCTATTGTTTGTCTCCATTAGAAATATTATTAAAGAATGCTAGACAATGTACAGCTCAAAAGGGAGAGCTAATTAAATTTAAGCTAAGATGGAAAACCTAAATATACAATTAGGTACATAGGGACAAAAACAAGAAATATTAATTTTTGAAGAGGAAAATTACAAATAAACTAAAAATATTTATTTAGGGAATATATATAGATCAAGGTCTATTTTGGATTTGAATGTGATGATCTCAAGTATAGGTGTTATGAACTCTTAAAGGGCATTTGCAGCTATCAATATCATATTGATACGGACATTTTTGAATGGCCTATTTATCGGGTCACATCTGTTGACCGAATAGCCTAGGATACAGCTGGGAATCATGAATTTAATTCTATTTTTAAAATATTTTTCAATTTCTTGCCTTTTATCTTCCATGAATTTCAAAATCTATCACAATTTAAATAAATCAATATATTTAACATTTCATCAACTTTATATTTATTTTAAATTAAAGTAAATTCGATTGAAATTCACTTGTCACTAAAAAATATTTTTTGTAAATTCATATTGTTCATAATTTTTTCTTATGATGCTGTCATATTGTATCGACAAAAAAAAAAAAAAAAAAAAAAAAACTAAAAAAATATTTTTTGTAAATTCATATTGTCCATAATTTTTTCTTATGATGCTTCATATTGTATAAAAAAAAAAAAAAAAAAAAAAAAAAATTGGTACGATTTTTTTTTAATTTGTTAAATGAGAAACATACAACGTGTCTAAAGAAAATTTAAATGGGAAGCCTTCTTTTTTTGAAATCAACTCAGCAAAAGACATATATGTCAATAGCCAATCACATTAAAAAAGACATCAAAGGACCAATCCAATTTTGCCGACAAAAGCAAAGCGACTCTTGTTCATAATAATGAAAGAAATATATGAATTATTCAAGCTTTATTTTTTTTAAAAAAAAATTAAAATTAAATAGAAACAAAAAAAAAAAAAAAAAAAAAAAATGTCCCTAAGTTGAGGCAAGATGATGTAGAATTATAAAAAACAGAATATTTTAATATTTTGATAGGATAATATAAAATATATATATTAAAATAAAATTTAGTATTTAATTTAAACTAAAAATACAATTTTCAAATTTTAGAGAAACAATAATGAAGACCCCTACCAGCTCTTGCATCTGTCGGTATTATTGAGGTCCCATCCTCATGAACCCCAAAGCTTTAACGGCTATAAAGAAGAAACAGAAATAGTACGGTACAACGACTCTTATTACAAACTAATAAGTCCATTTATTTATCTATTTATTGTTATTTTTTTATATATTTCGAAAATTATGTTTAATCTAAATTAGTTTTGACACAATTTTCAAATATATAAAAATTCCATGATGGATAAAATAAAATCCGTCTCGTTAAACCTATTGAAAGCATTATAGGCATTTTGACATGTTACGGTGAAAATCTTGTTAGCATGAGTCTTTTTATTTTTCTAATATTTTAAAAATTGATTTTTTTTTTAAATATGAATTTGGGGAATTTCGTTGTACGGAAGGTGGGTCTGATGGAGCGGTTCTTAATAATTGCAAAACGGTAACTTGTAAACCAAGCCCACTAAGACGAAGTAAGTAAGTCTTACACGTGGCAAAATTACATGGACAAGTGAAGTCATGTCAGCAGGCTCTTAATTTCTCCTGTCCTAATAAACGTGGCACTTTTTAAATAGTGAAAACTGTTAAAAATGCTTATTTTATTCCAGTAATCACTATAATTAATTGGCTAGATCATGTCCATAACCGGAACAAATCAATCACGATAAATATTTTTAAAAAATTATTTTGACTTTTTTTTTATGTATGTTTAGAAATATCCACATTTTAATAAGAAATTTTATTTTTATTAATTTGGTCTATGAGTACGGCCATAGACACGGTCTAGGTAAAAATTTTCTATTTATTAGGACAAGTGAAACAGGGTTATTAAATTAATGTCAATTAAGTAGTAGTCAAATTGATCTTTTCACCGATGTGAAGAATAAGATGTTTAAAGTTCGAGTCTTCTTAACTACGATTGTTTTTACGAATTTAGTGAGCTAAAAGGAGGATTACCCATGTTGTGTAGCCCTGCAATATTATTTTTATTTTACACTGCCAAAAAAATTAGAATACAAGTTCGATATCTGAAAAATACATTTTACTAAAAGAGTATATATTATTTTTATTTTACACTGCTAAAAAGACGAAAATACAAATTTGATGCCTGAAAAAGACATTTTACATTTTATTAGAAGAGTAAGAAATTACATTTACTAGAAGAGTAAAAATACAGGATTACATACCTTAATTATATATATATATATCATAATATATAATATATATAATATATTAAAAAAGTGGAAAGACACAGTCTTTTGAAAACACGGAAAAATAAAAATATAGAAAGGAAAAATAATAGAGAAAATAGAAAAAAACTATTTACTTTTTTCTTTATGTTTTTCGTATATTGGATTAAAAATATAAAAGGAAAGAAAATAAAATTATTTTTCTTTATTTGCAAATGATATATAAAAAAGTGAAACAGTCTGTTTGAAACACGGAAAAAATAAAATATAGAAAGGAAAATAATAGAGAAAACTAGAAAACTATTTACTTTTTTCTTTATTTTTTTCTATATTTGGATTAAAAATATAAAAGGAAAGAAAATAAAATTATTTTTCTTTATTTGCAAATGCCTAAATTAAGGAGAAAAGAAAATGATATTATTGTAAATTTATATTTTAAGTATAGATATTATTCTAATAAAACCAATAAGTCAAAGTTCTCCATTATAAAATAATAATGAAGCATTCTACTATTTTATTTTTCTTAGTTATTTTTCAATCAATGTTTAAATTGGAGAAAAGAAAAAGAGAAAAAAAATTAAAATTATTTTCATTTGTTTACAAAGAAAATAACTTTACTACAAATTTATAATTTTACTATTTACACTTGTAATATACAAATATTTATCCTACTAAAATTAATAATTTTAGATAAAATAACATAGGAAAAAATTTGAAATTTGAATTAAAAATAAACTTTAATGTTGAACATTACTCACTATTTAATTAATTTGAATGATATTATAATAGATGGCAAATAATAACAAACTTGCTAATGTATTTATATTTATAAAGTCACGAGTCATGCACTAAAAAATTTAATTAATTAATATAAAACAAAATTGTAACCACCAAGCTACGACAAAAGATTGAAGCTATACTAGGGTCATTTTGGCCATATTCTATAAGTAATGCTATTTTCTATACATTTTTTAATTAAAAACGTAATTAGTCCATTTTTAGTTAGTCAAGGCACATGAAATATAATAGAAATTCGATAATCTGACTTTCTCTCAATTCAAATACATTATCTATTTCCATTTAATAATTATTTTTTCCGAAATATAGTACATTAATAATAATATCAAGTATTATAAATATTTATATAAATCAAATATAAAACTCTGTTGTCATAGTTAATGAGTCAATGATCTTATTATTATTATAAAATGATTTGTCATTTTCAAATTAATTAGGGTTTAACTTGAATTATGTAATATGAAGGATATATTCAGTAGTTTTGCTATTTGTGCTAAACACAACAAGAAAATATTTTTTCTGGTCATAAAGTGTGAATCCGAAAGAAGAAGCCTACCTAACCTAATTACATCTCTTTCTATTTAAAACTTGTATTGAGGAAAGTCTCTTTCAAATTGAAGAATATATAAATTTTTATTAAAGATATTAAATTTTGCATATTTATGAACGGTGATTATGATTTTGATCAAAGCATCAGCATCAGGATCAGGTTCATAGGTCCAGAACACTCTTCCACTTTTGAACATGGCATTATCTAATTGGTTACCTAATTTTTTTAGCCTCTTCTTTTCCATTTGGCATATTCGTGGCAACAAATTAACAACCATTAATTAATATTATGGTCTATCTCTATCTGATAAAATTAAATTATAACTCAATAATTACCTTATAAATAATTTTTGCTTCTATTTTATAAATTTAAAAAAATTATATACAAAATAAATTTTATTTGTAAATTAGAAAATATATAAATTAATTTGAAGAAGATATTCATGATTATTATTATTATTATTTTATATGGTTTATTCAATTAAAATTGTGGCAAAAAAAGTATGATCAGTAGAAATCACACATATCACAAGATTATGACCTTTCTAGATGTGGACCTTATCGACATCTACTTATCCTAGACCTATTAAGAAACGCAGAAAATTAAACCAATCGGAAAATAATTATTTCGGACTCAAAATTTTACAAAATTAATTAATTTGTCTTCGGACTATTAAGTATTTATTTTTTAAAATTCAATCTCATCTTGTTAAATAGTCATTTCATTTCAATTTAGAGTTTTTTCCATTAAAACAGGATGAAAAAAAAATTAAAAAACTCCTTAATAACTAAAATAAATATTGATCAAAAATTAAAACTCGTCATCTCTCTTCTCTCTTACCTTTTAACCTCATTTAACGGAAAAAACATTTGATTTTAGATAGAAACATCATTTAATAAGATGAAATTGAATTTCAGATACTAAATAAGTCAATTGAATTGACTTTTAGGACCGAAATAATTATTTTTCCATAAATAATTACTAGTATCAATTAACAAAAGCAATTATTTGATTTTTGTTATCAACAAGATTTTTCAATATTATAAAGAAAATTCTCGTTTTTTATAAAAAAGAGATATTTCATTAATTAATTAAAAATAAATTACAAGAATAAAGTTGAAAATAACATATTATTTCTTTACATAAATGAAACCAATCACTTACTGAAAATAATTTAATACAAAATTTTATAACTTTGATAGAGTTGACAGAGAATATAATTTTCTCACTTCATGGCATGATTCTCCTCCTTCGAAAATTTATTTTGTAAAAAAAAAAAAATTATTTCCCAATAATTTTCGTTAAGGAAATATTTAAATAAATATTTTCTTAATTAGTGTAAAGATTTGAACACTCATACCGTATTAATCATTTAATGATTTACGGTTGACTTTTGACAATAATTAAAAGGTTAGATTATGAATTTATTTCCATTGATATTTAATGATAATTATATTTTATTTGATTATTTTGCATTTTACTTGTTTGGTAACAATCATATATATAATCCATTATATTATATAACTTATTTCCATAATATTGATAAGATCAAAATTCACTACCATATTTAGAATATTAATATTAATTTTTCTATATATAGCAAATGATTATTTTTCAAAATATATCAAATTAGTCGAGAACATTTTAATTTTTAATATTAATTAATTAATTTAATTGTGGTCTTGGAAAATAGGGTCCTTAAAATAGAGATTCTACAATTTTATCTTATATTTGCTATCATTAAGAAACAAAATGTAAATTAACATATAGAGTTTTAATCCACAACTTTCATATTCATTCATATGCCTATTTAACAAAAATTTGTAGTTTATGAGTTTCTATTTATAATGCAAATCTTAAATCTTTAAATATACAAATTAAATTTAGATTTAAATTTTCTACAAAAAAGTTAAAATGTTTAATTTAGTGAAAATAAGGTGATTTGTTATTAACTACTAGCAAGAATATTGGCATAGCTAGTTATCAAAAGTAAGTAATTTACTTCATTCAAAAAGAAAAAAAAAGAAAAGAGTAAGTAATTTACCTTATACCATATTAATCAGAAGTTAATTTTTAAGTTTAAGCTAAAAAAATGTTCATAATTTATAAATTTTTGAATTGCATAAATGATTTTCTATTAATAATATTACATTAAATTAAACCATAATAATATCATTAATTATTTAAAAATAAATAAATTGACATTTAAATGCATTGTAATTTTCTATATCCATTGCATTGCATATATTGGAAATGAAATAAGATGCCATTTGATATGTTACTCAAAAGTCAACACTTAGCCAAAGAAAGAAAAAGGGATTCCTAAATAAGTGCTTCAACTTTATCTACTTTGGCTATTAAGTCCCTAAATTTTTATTTATTTACATTAAACCCTTTAATTTTTATTTTTCACAATTAACTTGTTTAACACCTTATATTTAAGGTCACTAACTAAAGACATTAAATAAATTCTTTAATAAAAATTAAAGAAAAATAATATTTTAAAAGTTCAATAGCCAAAATGAACAAAATATTTCATTTTTTTTGAGTTTGGACAAGCATTTGAATTATGATAATATCTAATCATGGTATAAATGCATAAATTGAATGTACCTTTTACGATAAAAATAAAAAATTATGGTATTTTTAAGTCTAAAATTGACCAATTAAACTTTTTAATCGTTAAAATTATACCTATTGAACATGTTATGTTTTTAACTTATTAAATTATATTTATCTGATATTTAATTTAATTAAATAATTATCAAATGATTAAACATCTTAAAATCACTATATTTCTAATAATTTGTGTCAAAAAAATGCATACTTTTAGTAATTGCCAAATTGTACAAAACTATATTAATTGTAAATTTTTTACAAATTCAAATATATAATAAATATATTTTTAATAGTTAAAATATTTAATATGCGGACCTTAAAATTGAGGGTACCTTCAAATTTTTCTTGGAAGATTGAAGTATTATTTTATGTATTGAATTGCAATAATAAAAAAAGATTTGAATTATTATTAAAGTAAAATAAAAAATTGCTCGTTCATTACAAGTACATACAGAAACTCAATAAAACAAAAAAAAGAAAAGAAGAAAATGTCATGGGCATATATTCAAATAAAGCAGAACCAAACCATAATTAAAAAAAATAATAATAACTGAGAAAATCCTAATAAAACCAAATGAAATAAAATTAAAAATTAAAAATTAAAAACTAAAACTCCAAAAGAAACCCATCAACCACCAAATTATTCAAAAATAAGCTCCCCAATGAAATGCACCAAAAACGACAGTAATAGCAATAGTAACACCAAACGAGATCATTTTTGAAGGAGTTACAGCCCATGAAGCAGAACCACCTGGAGGCGGTGCAGTGATCGCCGCCGTTTCACCAGAGCCCGGTGAAGATGCTGGCCCTGACCCTCCCTCAGGTGATTCAGCCGGTTCAGCTCCCGGAGACAAAACAGGCGGAGCCGTTGTGATTGACGGAGATGGAGATGTCGCCGGAGAGTAAACAGGTGGAGTGGTTGTAGGAGACGGAGATGGAGATTTAGCCGGCGATGAAGACTTGGGTGCATGAGATATTGCCGGTGAAGGAGCATTTGCTAATGGGGATGGAGATTTCGCCGGTACGGGAGATATAACTGGAGTCTTGGCTGTTGGTGATGGAGCTAAAGAAGGAGAAACAGGGGAAACTGCAGGAACTGTAGGTATTGCAGGGGAAATAACTGGTGGTTTTGGTGTTATAGATGGTGGGGATGAGACAGGGGAGACACTGGGGGATGATGGTTTTGGGGCAATGGAAGGTGGTTTAGATGGTGGCAGTGGTGGTGTTAATGGTGGCGAAGGGGCTATAGGAGCTGGTTTTGGTCTAATGGCAAGAACTACAACAATTAGCTTTTGTCCTTTTTGACAATTTTCTTGATTTCCACTAATGAAAAAGAAAGGACCAGAATGATCAAATTGAAAAACAGAGGTACCAGAACTCAAAATCTTGATTGGATTCTTTGTGTTGCAATTATAGTAATCATCTTTCTTCACAACCAAAACAGAGTCTGTCCCTTCTTTGAACTTAAAAGCTACCAGAAAAGAAACCAAGAAGAAAATCAATGAAAGTTCAAATCTTTAATCCAAATAATATTAATCAATCAATACCCACAAATCGATCAAAGATCAAATTTTTATTTCAGTGGTGCAGATCAGAGCAATCATAAGAGTGAAAAAACTAGAATTAAAAATGAATGAGAAAAGAACATACTGAGTGTATCGTGGACTTGAAATCTGTTTCTGCCAGCCCAGTGATTGTAATCCTCAGAAGGTTTCAAAACCCAACCATCTTTGCCTCCAACGTAGAAGTTGTAAGCGATAGAGGAGGAGATAAAAAAAGAAGCAAACAGAACTAGGATGAAAAACAGAGAAGAAATCATCTTTCAAGTGGAACAGAGAAAACAGAGTGTATATGCCTAACTAAAAACCCTATCTATCGAGTGTGTGTATCTATATATATATATGCGTATAATGAAGAATCTGAGAGAAATATAGATTTGGAAGATGAATTGTTACCAGAAAGCTAATTTGGAAGGTGAAGATTTTTGGGATTTTCTTTTAATTAAAAGAGAGAGAGAGAGACAGATCGCAGAGGGAAAAGGGTAGTAACGGGTTGAATTATAGCGTTTGAAGGTAGCAAAAGGAGGCAAATATATGGAAAAGCGTGTGTTACTCGATGATACTACATTAGTGTTTAAAGTTGCGGTATATATATATATTTTTGGGTCCTAACAGAATTTTCTCACGATACGATTATTTAATATTTATTTTTTATTTAAGCAATCTGAATATTTTTTTCCAAATCAATTTCTTTAACTCAAATATATATCTATGCAAATTTTATTTAATATAACAGTGAAACTTTCTTGTGATCGTTATTACTTAAGTTATCTGTTCAATTATTCACAAATGTAAATTCTTTCGGATCAGCCTTTTTATCTCTGAAGGTGAATGAAAATTAGTTAAATTTGTGGACCGTTTATATAGACACGAGTCTAAATAACTCGTGCAAATATAAAAAAATAAAATTTCTTGCACAACACATACTGAATTAATCCAAATGAGAGTAGGTCAGTGACAAACAACACTGGAGCAATGAGTTTAATTTTCTCCGATGCAAACTCCACCTGTGATAGCCCCTTAAGTGTCATTTGCATATATATATTTTTATTCTATTTTATTTTGTATGAATATCTATCCTTTTTTTATTATTTTTTTAAAGTTGCTATTGGAAAAAAGGGTGAAATGTGATTGAATTTTGTTTGTAAGATTTCTCCGCTGGTAAGTCCTGATTTTCATTAGTTATGGTTCTTGAACAATCGTCATTTTATATCTTTTTGTCTCTGACTTTTTTCTAGCCTTGCAGCTTTCGGGTAAATGGACATTGATCGAGGGGCCAAGGATTTCTTTTTTTTGTTATCCCTTATCGCAAGGGCCATTGGCTCCTAGTTCTTCTACAGTCGTTGATATGTGAGCAGCATGGTTGCCCTTTTTCTTATTGTATGTAAGCGGCTTGGGCTTGGGTTTAGCAGCAGTAAAATAATAATATGACTACAAAAGTACTATACCAAAATTTTAAAAAAAAAATTATTAGTTCAATAGATATAATTTTTTCCACGTTTAAAACTGATTTTTGGAAAAAAAATTCATAGTTGAAAATTTAAAATCTGTTATTGGTAATAGTAACAAACTAACTAGTAATAAGTATCATATTTCTTTAACTTTAATATATAAAAAAATAATACAGACAACCATAAATATTTAATGATTTTAGGCTTAAGAGTATTAAATTTTATTTTTAAAAATATTAGTTAAAAATTTGAATCCCAATGGACCTGAAATTAATAAAAAAAATTATATTGGTGCTTAATTTACAATGGTACTCTACAGTTATATGATTGGCTATAATTATTTCCTAAAAGGAACTTATTCTATAAAGAGCAAAACATAATTTGTTATTATTTATTAAAGTATATATTATAAGATTTATTATTTAATATAAAATAGAAAATAATACTCATTAAAAAAATGTAAACAAAACAATATTTTGATATAGCATATAACATGTTAAAAAATACAATATTTTGTTATAGCATATAACATGTTAAAAGAAATTTTTTTAACACGTTAGTATATAATATCTATAATATAAATTAAAAACATAATAAACCAAGTCAAGCTAATCTATCTTGAAAAAATTTACTATTTTTTATGTTTTATTATTTTATAAAATGTTCTTTTTCTATTTTGTGAATACTTTTAGAGTTTTTTGGTAATATAAATGGTTCATAGGATTATAATTTATATAAAAAAAGAAAATTATATATAAATTAAATTACATTTTACTTGCAATGAGTAATATTCAACGACCACAAATTATAACATGTAATACATGTTCGAGAAAACTAGTACTCTATAAAATTTCAAACAATAGAACAACAATAGTTTCTAAAAAAAGGTTTACCCATGTTGTTCTCCAATAATTTTTTTTATTCGTTGGAAGGTGTAATTTGCTGAAATAACATTGTGGCTTGTAAAATAAAGATAGCCCTCCCTTTACTCATCAAATTAGTATAAATTCTTGTAATCGAGAGGATTCAAACTTTAGACCTCTCACTCTTCACATAAATGTAGGTATGACCACAATCTAGAACCGCCGGTTTTAATTTTAAAATTACCAATCTAATTATAAGAAATTTGAAACTGAAATTGAATTGCATATATGCATCATTAAAATGTTTTTTGGAAACACTGGTTGTGATTTTATTCTAGTTTGGAACCGAAATTAAATAATTTATTTCAAACTTTTGAAAATTCATTTTTAGATTTGTAGCTTAAATAATAATAATAATAATAATAATAATAAATATTGTTGTTGAAAAACACTAAACCAGTTTAATAATTTATTTTAAAATTTTATAACAAAATAAAAAAATAAATTAGTAGTTTCTTTAGGAATATATTTTCATGGTTTCAAATTGGACCTATCAATTTTAAATCAATAATAATGATTTCGATTCTAAAAAATGAAAAATCAGAAATGAATGTTAAGTACATGATTTTCATTACAATTCAAAACCAAGGGCCTTTAGCTACAGTTTAATGTCAGTTTTGACCGGGTCGATTTCAGTTTGAAACTAAACTGTGGTCATGCCTGCAAAATGAGAAGACTAACTAGATTACATCTAATTAATTGTCCAACAAAATTTCCAATAAAAGTAGTTGGTAAAATTCATTAGTTCTCCAAATTCCAATAGTTCATCACAATAATTTATCTACAAAAGAGCTTTTCACAATAATTAAGCTTAAAAAAGGTTTATCACGATTTTCTCATAATAATTGTTTTTCTTTTCCTCTCGAAACGTTCATTTCCTTTTCTTTTGTTATTTCAATATTTCTTTTGCTTTTTTAAATATATATATTAATAATTAATTCCTTTCTTCTTTTCTCACATAATGAATAAAAAGAAACAATATAATATCAAACAAAAAAGAAGGAAAAAGAATTTTTAATTTTAAATTAGTTGGAATCATGTTTATCAAATAATACAATAAATTAATATAAAAAAATATGAATCTGAGACACCCCGAATTTTTATTTTCGAAAACTTTCGAATTTTTAATAAATCAAAAATCTCGATTTTCAACTAATGGGCTATATATATACCAAACAATATTCAAAAATCTCGATTTTCAATAATGGCATAGTATATATACCAAACAATCTCAATTCGAGCCCAAAATTTACGAGTCAGGGCCCAAGCCCAAATTAAATATCGAAAAGAAAATTTGAATCTAACGTAAAATTTTTGGAGAATAAATACAAACCCCCGTAATTTATCTATTGAAATTATATATAAAATCATTATCCTAAAATCCAAATATTGTTACTAAAATAATTTTTATAATTATTTGAGTAAATGGAGAGAAATATTACGAAACCGAATGAAACAGTTAAAAATAAATTGAATCAGGGCCCGAAAATCATTTAATTTGTCGAGAAACCACCCAAATATCGAAACCGACGGGGAAAAACATTGAAAAATCAAGCGAAATTGAGACCAAACCACTAAAATCGGACCAAACCGGTTTGAATCGAACCGGAATGCCTAAGTTGCGAGAAAACCGCCTACTTTTTTTCCTTTCTTTTCTTTCTCCTCTCTTCTGCAGCTGCGCGAACAGCCTCCCCTCCACCCTCCCCCTCCGTTTCCGGCACGCTCGCACGAGAGCGAGGATGGCGATCGTCTCCGCTAGAGCTCCTGGTCCGTGTTCCGACTCCTTCCACTCCCACTGCAGAGTCTCCAGTGACCGAAGCGGACTGTCTCCCATCGACAATTTCTCCTTCCTTCGATCTCCGACGAGGATTCGAGCAATTCCTAGGCGACGTCAACACGAAAGGAGCCGGATCGGAGTCACCTCCAACCTTGTGATGTTCTCCCTCCATAATTCCGGCTACAAAGCTTGAAATGGCCGTAATCACCATAATGGCGTGCACCAAGCTATGTCGGACTAATTCAGGCCAAATACGAAGGGCCGAACCTTCCACAAACTGACATTCAAAAAACGACTCCTCGATATAATTTGAGTGCGGTGGCTTGAAGAAGGGTCAATTCTGGTGGCCCCAACTTTTCCGCCACCGTGGACGCGGCTGCGACGGCGTCGGGTGGACCGGCCGGGCGGACACTCCGCGAGCCCCAAGAGCAGAATGATCTCCCACTTCGCGGTTGATTCATGAAATGAGGTCCGATTCTCAAACGGTACGCCCTAATTACCTATTCCTAAATTTTGTTTTAAACTTCCCCAAATTTTAAAACTATTAAATTGATTAAGTTGAAAATCAAATATAATCCTTGCTATGAAATTAAATTAACTGATATAATGTAGTTACAAATTAATTGAACATTTTTTAAATAAATTACCTTGGTATTGTTATAAATAGGTTGAATGAGGGGAAAAAAACTAAATTAGAATTAGTTTAATTAGTTAATTAGATAATCATTAGTTTAAAAAACTAACGATTGTGCATATAGGAAAAGTGAGGCCAAATTTAGTTGCGTTAACGTTAGATCCCGAATTTTGTTAATCAAGATTTGGAGGCCTAGCATTGCTATATTGATATAAAAAACGAAATTTTAATAGTAGTAGTTATAATCAGTTATTGTTAAAATATGTTTTAGCTACTTTAACCAATTATTACGCAGTAAAACTTAATATTTAGTTAAACTAATGACTTAATAAAATGATCTTATATAGGGATATTATTAGAATTAGTTTGTAAATTTTTGAGTGTTGATATTGTTGTTTTGGAAGGGGATGGGATTTTTAAAAATGAATTGATTGCCCGACGGTATGGCTGTGTGCACTGATTGATTAAACGATATGATAATATTGTGAATTTGAGCAGGTAGATAGCCCCCAATTTTTAGGAGGTGCTGTCGAAATTTTTTTGACAGAATTTAGACTTTAATTTTAATTAATAACATTAACAAAATAAGCTTATTAGATTAAAAATTTCTACCAATTTGAAACATAATAGAATTAAAGTTGCTTTAACTACCTGTCATTATCATAGTTTATTATATTATTATTATTATTTTATCGTTGCTTTATTGTTAATATTATTTATTTAATTATTTAATTGCATTTGAGAATGATGTTTTAATGTACATTGCAGGGTCCCAATTATGT